GTCACATCTTCGAAGAGCTGTGCGTCAAACCAGAGCCTCAAGGCTGGTTCCAAAGGACTTTCGAATCTGGGTGTGTCTAACAATGGGTGGCCATTTCAATTATATAATCATTTTTGGAGGTACTATATTAATCTATATTTTGAGGCAAACCCAAATCTGGCTAGTTTTTTGACATGGTAAAAACCATGGTAAAAACCATGGTAAAAACATGTAGGGATATGATGGGACACCAATAACTTTATTCAATAATAGTTTTAATGGATCACCCCAAACACTGGCCGTGGAACATCAGACTTTATTATCAGGCCGTTTTCCGATTCTCCATCCCATCACACTGATTGTCAGTTGGAGATAGTTGGAGATCTAACAAGATTGATTTGAAACAATAGATAGTTTGCTTATGTTTGCTTTACTGATAGTTGATCTATTGATAGTTTGGTTTGATCAAAATTGTTTCAGACTGGTTCAAGAACACCAGACTCGAACAAGTCGACCCAACTATTCACCTCATTGACCTCTAAAGGAATATCTGGTTTTCAGGCTTTTGGCCTAGCAAGTTGAATGTGCATTCCCCATTTTGATCAATGTTGGTTACATCAAGGTGGCCCCTTCTGTATTTTTCATCCTTCCAATCAGATCCAAGTAAAAGGGAATTTGTGCTGAAGGGAACACCTACAATGACCTGGACATTTACTAATTGCGAGGGTGTTGGATAGCCTCCATGTTGGCGTTGCAGCACGATCTTCTGGTTGTCTGCTTTTGAAGATCATATTGCCATCGTTCTTAAGTGCCAATCTGTCGACGTGTTGACGTATTTCACCATTTTTGCAGGTTGCTGCTCTGCCATCCACGGTATTTGTTGGTTAACATCCGCCATTATGTTGGTCAACATGCCGTCCACATGTTTGTACCCCCACATCCACGATAATCACAATATAGTGGTTTCCGCGCAACCTTCCCACAAATTGTTAACAACATCCTTTCTGTTGGCTCACCTCCCCACTCTTGTGGGTTTATGTCCCATATTTTTTGGTCATATCCAGCAATTTCCTTCCTGTAATGCCCATGTACTGATTATTTATAAGCGGATCTGTAACCGGATTTGAGGCCAACAACTGTCGGCTATCAGAGATCCCAACCCCGAACTTACCACCACTTGAATGATCCTGAGACTTAATACGTGGTAGTTAAATGATGTTAAATGAAGTGGTTGGTACAATAGGATGATAGCCTTCCCACTTGTTTTTGGTGTCTGAAATTTTAGTACAGCCGCAAAAAAAAACATTGCATTTTGACGTTCGGAACAAGCATGTTCAACCATGGGGGTTGAGATGGGTTGAGTACCAATACCCAACTATTTTCAGACCAACGAGCAATGATCAATACCACCTGCTCTCTGGCAACCATGGAAAGCCATCTTCTTTAAAGGGTAGATCACCCACACACGGGTCGACCATTAGCACAGCTATGTTAGACTACAAGAAGGTAATATCAACTAACCCCGATCGTGGAACTTCGTCAACTATGGACAATACCAACTATGATTGCTACATGTTAATACAAACTAATATGCTTAGTAACCACTTAAATTGTTGGTAAATGCTTAGCAAATGGTTATCACATGTTATTCATAGACATTACAGTAATACCAACTAATTCCAACTATGGCTAGTAAAGGATGAGTAACTGAGTAACCACCAGCAACCACCACCAGGATTCTCCGGGGCACGCCACGCCATGCGCTTCCAGGGCTTCCGGAAACGCCACCGTGATGGGGACGGCGCAGCGGCGGCGGCGAGAAAGACAGGGAGCGGAGAAGTCGAAGTCGAAGACCTGCAGAACTGGCACTTGGATATCTATGTTAGTAATATGGGGATTTTAATGGTTAATAATGGTTAATGGTGAATAATGGTGAATATTGGTGAATAGTGATAGTGGTGAATAATGGTGAAAACATGTTATATAATATGGAGGTTTCCTAAAAGGGTACCCGAATGGCTGGATGGTTTATTTCATGGTCAATCCTACTAAAATGGATGATGACTGGGGGTACCCCTTAAAAATAGGAAACCACAATGTATGATTTGAGGAAAACTGGTGATATAGCGCAGATTCATTTTTTGGAGCAATACACACCAAGATTGTTTTCCATCAACTATATTTACTACGTGGTTTCCCTGACAATATGGGATGAACGATATTTATATATATATAAATATAGTTCCATGGTATAGGATTTCTTGGTATATATACACAGCAATTGGAGTGCATGGAATATATCGTATATAGGTTCTCTAGGTATGGTGTATGTGTATACACATTGACATATACATATATATATATATATTTATATTTATATACCTTGAGCCGCTTGGTCACTTGTTTTGAGGAAAGATCAATATTTCATACACGGTTCATATATGAATGCCAAGATACGCCCCTTTGTCAAGAATGCGGCTTATTGGGCTTTGCAGATATGATATATGATATATGTAAATATATGTAAATGCGAAATTCTGGATCCATTTCTACCAAATTTGGTAAATCCCCGGTATGTACCGGACCCCCAAACCATGTTGACATGGCCTCCATGGGGAATATGAACCAAGAAACAAATGGCTACCGGAAATGACCAAAAAACATCAAAAAACAAGGTATTCGTTGAAGGCCCAGGATTGATTAGGTGGGGTAAAGGATACCAGATGTTCTCCATTATTCCATTGCCAAATTAGGCAATCCGCCAGTACTCGACCCTCTCTGGGAAATTATGTGAAATCTAGCGAAATAATCCGGAAATACGAGTTCTCCATGGACATGTTTGATTACACTATGGTACTCACAACAAGACATGTATTGTATATATATATATAATATGTTGGATGACTGTTGAGGGAAAGTAATCAACGTGTAAGTCAACACAAGGAATGAAAATCAGCATGTATCTCATCCCGAACAGTGAACACAAAAAAAAACTTGGCTCGGCATCAATGGTACCCCTAAATCTAAATTCACCGGGGTCATGAATCTTCAATCTTCACTTGCACAAGAATAAGTTTATTGTTTATATCCATTTTTCAAACACACGTATACTAGTATGAGCAGTGTTCAAGCCTTCTGTCTTCCTTTTGTACTGCTTGCTCGTTGATAGGTTCATTGTCTGTCCATGATATAGCAATTTTTTTGCTGGCACCAATATTTGATGGCAAAATCCCATTAAACATATTCAGCAATGGTTAAAATGACGGCTAAGAAATGCTAAGAACACCCTTTAAACTGGTTAAAATGATGGTACATTTCTCTATAGATTCTATAATAACGAATCAACATGTGGATGTGGCTGCTGATATGACACCCTTACCATCCAACACGCATATCTATCGCACCTCAAAGGCTTCCGACACGAAGCTCAATAGACCTGCAAATTACTCACAGCGACAAACAAATCAGCATATCATATACCTATATATATATATATATGTATATGACTCATATGACTATAGTAATATTATATTACCCTTTGGTAAACTAACGTAACTATGGAAAATCACCATTTTCAATGGGAAAATCCACTATAAATCACCATTTTCAATAGCTATTTTGACATAACCAGAGGGTATATAATTATCATATGATCTCAGATGATCTCATCCATTCATACGTACAATATGTATCACAGGCCACCCAATAAAACCAGCCCATGGCCGTGGAGAACCTGGGAGGATCCCACTTACCACAACCATTTGCCTAGCCAAATCGAACAGAGATGTGCTAAATTTCATGAACTTTCAATAGATTCGGTTGTTGGTTGTTGGTTTCAATCCATCCTGACTAGGTATAGATAGAATTATATAGATATATTATATATTCTAATTCCATCTGGCAATGAGACCTGGGAAATTCATGGCATCTATTGCTGAGAAATTATCCCCATCTCACCTCGCAAAGGTACAGCGCGACCCGTCGCTCCTTGTTTTACCCTCTGAGCACACAGAGTCTGCATCTTCGATGGGCTTTGCGGTGTCTTTTTCGCAAGAATATGTCGTTGTTTCATTCGAGTCCAAACATGGGCGATATATGGCGATATCCCATTTTCTTTTGCAAATGATGATTAACCATGGGATTTTAGGTTACAGTACTCCTATTTCCAGACAACCCGTTTAGGTAGAACACCGTGTCAAAGCAAATTGACATGTAAAGCACAAGACCACTGTACCATTGTACTTTGTCAAACCAATAAAAATTGAAAATTACCATAAACTACCTATGTCCATAATGTACTGTACTAGTTGTTTGGGTTTTTGAAATAGCCAAGCAAAGCTTGCAACAATTGGAGCTATGATTGAATTCACCAACCTTGTGCTGCGAAGAACTTTGGAAGAAAGCTCGCTCAAGCCTGTGAATGCTGTTACGGTTGGGGATTCACTCAAGAAAACCAGAGAACTGCTTCTTCCATGGAGGAATTTCTCAAGAACCTACTAAATGGAAACCAAGATGGTGAGCCTCCGCAATCAGAAAACGACCAAATGTCCCTTCAATCCATTGATGGTTGGGGCAATTGCCTTACTTGACCTCTTCATTTGAGATTGATTGGGATCAATCAATTCACCCAACCCATCTTACCCTCCATTTTCACATGGCAAATATGAACAGCATTGATGCTTTTTTTGATATGGTTGGGATGATGAACCACCCGATACAAGATATGACCAAGCCCTTAAAGATACAGCCCCTGCAATATGACTCTGGCCATGGAACACTGGCTGGCCATAGCCTGGTCGAAGCAACTCACCTGCAGGCACTTCTATGGATGATACGCTTTCCACGTGAAGCAACACAATTTTGCGATGATAGCCCCAACTCCACGAATGCCTCGAAACCTCGACTAGATTCAAACCATTTCAAACCAGTGGTTTCATTTCAATGAAAACACACAACTTTTAGATACTTTTTGCCATTTAATGTTATGATATGTTATTTATTTCATTTAAGTCCTATGTAAACTCCGTTTCAACTATTAATCTACAACTAGAAACATCCTCACCATGGCTTCCTTCGACCTGGCTGCGCCCTTCAGTCGTGCTCCATCTTTTGCACATCCGTGGGAAAGCCTTCTCGTTGCTGGGCAACAATGCCTGACAGCAACGGGTTGCAGCTGTCATGGCTGTCATGTTGTCCAGTCCCCGACAAAAATCGTGACTTGGCCATGGAATCCATGGAACTCTGGGTACCAGGTACCCTTGGTCTTCACAGCAAAATAGCTGGCCAAGTTGGTTCTTATGGATGTTTATCCCCTCAAAGATGGATCGCAACTTGGAGCATGTGCCCATGTGGAAGAAATATGGCCTCAGGCAGCAATCCAAGCAGCCCTTGTGACCTGTCGCCTGTCACTAATCTGATCTATAGAAATTCCTAGACTCTAGACCTTTCATGAGATTAGTTAGAGTCTAGGTATTTCTATAGAGTCTAGGTAAAAGAACCCCCCACAATAACTGTGCAGAATCTTTACCAAATCCGTCAATCCACAGCATCACACCTTTCCATTTTGTTCCTGGCCTGGCCAAAGGAAATAGCCTCTGGGATGCATGGTATGATCTTGATGTCCAGGTCTCGGAGGCTTCAACCCTGCGGGTCCATGGGGTCCATGGCCCTAAAACGAGCCAAGTAAGGACAGGGGGTTACCATCATGGACCCACAAAAAACCTGGGGGTTGGAAGCAACTCGGTGAATGTGAACCTAAGGCGATTTCGCAATTTCAAGCCGAAAAATATGGCTATAATGGCTATAGTCACCACAAAGTTGCAACATACACCGTATGTCTGTCTGTCTGTCTGGCTGGCTGTCTGTCTGTCTGGCTGGCTGGCTGGCTGTCTGTCTGTCTATGTATGTGTACGTATGTATTTATGTATATATATATATATGCATATGGATATGTATATGTGTATATGTATGTGTATGTGTATAAGTATGTGTGCATCTGTGCATGTGTGGATGTGTGGATGTGTGGATGTGTAAGTGTATCTGTATGTGTATGTTTATGTATGTTTATGTGTATGTGTGTATGTGTGTATGTATGTCTGTCTGTGTGTGTGTGTGCGTGTTTTAATGTAATGAAATGGAATGTAATGACATGTACGTGTATGTGTATGCGTATGCGCATGTGCATGTGTCGATGTGTTGACATATATATATATAATTATATATACGGGGGGTTCAAAAAATAGGGGTACCAAATCCTCCGTTTCTAAAGGATTTTCAGGATTTTCCATTGTAACCATTCATTTTGGGCTACCCCGATTCTGCTCATCATCCCCAAATCATGTCCGAAGTCGAACGAGTCGATGCTCAAATTGTGGCTTAAACATGTTGAAAACATCTATAAACATCATATAAACATCATATAAACATCACTTAAAACTCCTGGGAAGTACCCCTTTTCTGAGTCCAAGTCGACTGCGGAACACGGAGCACTGGGAGGAGATCGCGCAAGCGATGGGGATCCGGTGCTACCAGCGAACTAAGTGAGTGAAATAAGCCCATAGAAATGGCAGCCGTATATCCCCATAGAAAGAACCATTAGACATCATAAAATCTAGCTGGTTTTTAGGACTAACTAACAGTTATAACTGGCCTAAGAAACCTCATTGAAGTGATTGCTTAACCTTAGTTGCCAGAGTTTCAACCCCATTTACAAGTGTTAAGTGCCCATGAAATATCTCCACTGATCAACAAAAAACGACAAAAAAAAACGCTAATTTTAGATGGTCAACTCCCCATGGATGATGTTTGGGCTATGGCAACTCAAAAAAGGTTACAGCACCTGGATCCTCCAAGCACTGGATCCCGGGAAATTATAGACACCTGGATCCATAAAAATTCTGTGTCTAGCCCATAATTTAGTACGTTTACCATCTTTTTGCGGAATTTGGAGGGTCTACACCGGGACTTCTGACACACTGCGCTACAGAGAGCGACCGAAGTCTGCCCTTTGCCGTTTCAAAATCTTTGTCTTTCAGTGGGATATGGATATGGATGTATTTTGAAAGACTGAGAAAAAAATCGATACAGCTATCTGTATCAGATCATCAGATCTTTCCCCATCCAAAATGGAACAAACAATCAACTGTAGCCATTTTTACCAAGCATTGGGATGCCCCCGGATCAACTGGATCAACTGGAACCTCTCTTTCGAAAGACCCATGGCAATGGAACACACCGGTTATGTCAAGTTATAGCTATTGAAGCCATGGCCCAGTCGAAATAGTGAATTTTCCCATTAGTTATGTTAATTAATGTTAGTTTATGTCAACATACCCTCTGGTTATGTCATAATTTTCCCATTAAACATGGTGATTTTCCAGAGTTTGTTGTAAACGTTTACCAGAGGGTATCCCCCAAAAATCGTTCGATGATTCAGTGAACTGAAACCTCCATAAAAATCATCGGCAATTTCCCCACCAGAAAATCATCTACTGTATAAACGTGGTGTGTTTTCCATTGCAATGTTGGAGTACCGGATGGTATTAAGCAATATTCCATGAATCTTCAATTATATCCCAATTGTATCCCTACATCTGTATAATTATATCTTATCATATCTTATTACATATATATATATATCTTAAAATTTATTATATATATATATATCAAATATATCCTATTCTAGCCCCATTAATTATCACACCATTTTTGTTAGTTTAACGCCTTCACGAAGAGATTCATCGTTCATGTGGGTGTCGATCTGCCAATGGAGCGGCACGCTCACCTGCCAGGGTGAGCATTGTGGTCGTAGCTGTTCTATCTGGTTATGGATAGATATATAATGAATTATAATGATATGATGTATGATGATTTACCTATTGAAAATTGTGATTTCCCATAGCTACGTTAAATAAGCACAGGGTATATATATATATACAATGATATATATATATATAATATATATATACACTGTATACATAACTTGACCCTAAAAATGGTCTGGAAGAAATGGACAGATCGTCTTTTTCACCTAAACGTCTCCTGAACTTTTCCATGGACCAACCTGTTGGATGTTTTTGGTATATCACAAAGGGTATAATATATATATATATATATAGCAAGTACTCATGGGACAACCCCAGTTGAGGCACATGAAGTTATGAACCAAAGTTTTGACGCAGTTACTTAAGTAACAATCTGTAATTGGCTGAGAGGATCCTCCAAGTATAATGAACAATGAAAGGGGAACGAGTCACCAGGATGAACCAGTTGTGGATTGGTGCTTAAAACATGCATCAGAAAATGCCAATGTCTGGGGGCGGGGTCATCTTTCTCAGTCCAAAAATGGGAATGGACAATGGACACATGTGTATCCACCACAATGCGCCAAGCAAACTGGATGTCCAGTTGTCTTTGAATTTGGATGTCCAGTTCTCTTGGGGAAGACATGCATGATATTCATGTCATCATCCAAAGTCATGGTCATCACTTGTTTGGGCATGTCTTGTGAACTTGGTGCACTTAGATACATGTAGTAGTGTACCTGCGTATCATGTTGGATTTGTGTCTGCGGAATCCAGCTTGTTGGGACACTAAGCTGAAGGAAAACACCATACTTCCTGCCAAGCTCAAGTGACTCAAGTACGCCACAGAGGTGCCAGAGAGTTTTGCTTCACCAAATAGATGACTCTCCATATTTGGTGTATTAACAAAAAAATAATAACATCTATTTGGTGAAGCAAAACTATAAACATCCATATTAACTGTACGATTTTAGCTACCGTCTCCCATCGAAAACTCCTGCTAGCACTGCTAGCTGGGAAACTCATCGAACCACATGGGGTGATGAAGCAAGAGGTATTTAACTAGATATTCCATAGAATATTTACATATATTTACCACAATTTAATTTTAATAGAATATGATCATTGGAATATTAATGGTTAAATATCTATTTCCATTCTGCTCATATTCTATGAATATTTCACTAGATATCCCCGTTATAATCATTATATCACAGATGGCAGCAGTCTCCTGCGACAGGAGTTGTATGCCCAACAAAAAAAGGGAATGACAGGTGAACAGCGCCAGGTGTGACCTCCAAACAAGCTTTGGCCCCTGCGTCATTGATGACGTAGGCCGTGGTTTCCTGGAAGCCAGTCAGCAAAATATCAATGGAGATCATCAGCCACAAAACCATCGACCGGCCAACAAAAAATGGCAACCCATCGATAAGATCTGGGATTTCTGCCTTACAGTGGCTGGATGATTCATGACCAACTTTTTTCAATCAAAGAATGGGAAGAATGGGTATGTGGGGGATGCAGTTCCACTCATGGCTACTTGTTGCCATAGATAGTTTTTGTGCTGGATGAATCTCAAGATTCTGGAGAAGGTACCGCTGAAAAATCAGGAATCTCCCCACAAACGTTTGACTACATCAAGTACATCTATCAAAAAAAACAATCTATCTTCATATACTGCACATCAAACATAGATTCTAAATGTATTTTCACATATTTCCCCCTCACCAAAACATGTATTGATATTGATCATTATTGATCTAGATCCACTCGTATTCCACAACATATCGCCGGGGAACTCGAAAGCCCTTGTAGAGCCGTCGGACGCCTTTGCCCACTTCGTACAAGTGTTGCCTCCAACGGAGAGACAGACATTCAACGGCCGAGGATTTGGGGAGTGTTGTTTTGTTTTTTTTGAGGGGGGTGGAAAAACAATACTTGAATTATGAAAATTTGATTTACTTTGATAATTAATATGGATCTGGATTCCTGACATTTTTCGCATGCTGTGTTTTGTTTTGGGCAGGTGATTCATGTATAGTTCATGTATGGGTCAGCGATGGAACAGTTCCAGTCCGTTGGAAATATCCATGGGACCAAGGGACATCCAACATTTGTATATCACTTGGGTTCCCGGGAAACCCATGGATTCCATATCGCCGGAAAGTGTCATCCAAAACATCAAGTACTGAAGGAACTGAACATAGAACTGCTCCTGGGAAACAAAAACTATTCTGGCTTTCACATGTTCAGCAAAAATGTGTAACATTTTGTTGACTGCTCTTCATGGTGGGAAAAGAGGTATGACATATCCATACATATCCCATTGACATGTTTATCTTGGTCGGTCTTCAACGTGGTCAAACTTGTTGTCATATCAATTTGAAGCAATGGACTCTTCCGGCCGAATAGTCCTAAAAGAAAATAGTTAATGGCCCATACAATAAACAAATACAAACATCGTATGTCGGACTTGGCTGTTGGTTGGTACAATTCAACAAGGCCACTACCAACGAGTCATTACTTAAGAACTGTCACGAGCATGGGTAACCCGACCTTGTCACCATTCTATTCTATTTGATATTCCCAATTTACTATTATAATTCTATGTTTATCATATCATCATATCCCATCTTACATCCCGGACCAGTCTTTATATCTTACTTGTCTGAAGGGCTATCACCCAGTCAACATAGGATATTATCATGACCGGTTTCTATATGACTAAAGATGTCCTATCAAAAAATGTTGGGAAACTCTGATTGTAGCTCCAACTGGCTCCCCCTTTCATAAGAATATGGATATCCAACCCGCATGTATCTGCTCCCTCCATTCACCGGACAGTAATCCGATTACCCCATTCCTCGATCTCTAACATTCAACGATGGGACATGTTAATATCATATAAGAAAGCATGAGCACGCAAAACTGGTCTATATTCGCCGAATAATCTACAATATGACCAATCCATGTAAGGTTCCCATAGTTCTGGTTGATATTATATATATATATTATATACACCAACAAAATCCAACAAACATATGAAGGCTTCCAATCCATGGAGTACCCCGATTTTTTCGCCTGCGGAGTAAGTCCTGGCCGCCCAAGTACACGATTTGCCAGTCCTTCATCGGACTTGCATAAAAAACGGGGGTTTTGAACCCGAAGAAAGTGGGATTGACGGTAACCATCGAACATTGGCTTTCAATTAATTCAAATATATCCATTTAAGCTTCAACACGAGGGACTTAGCTAATGTTGGCTTGCTACACAAGGGATACCCACATCTATGACCGTTTTAAGAGCGAACATCTTTGGACACAGATTTTGTCAGAAACCCATGGAGATGCTGTTTGTAACAATCTCCCGTTCATAGCAAAAACATGAGGTAATACCCACAATTTGTGGTGCTCACGCGGCATAATTCTATACAGTAGTTGATTTATAATCACAATTGATCATCTGACTATACTTATAATATATATATATATTATATGTCGAACATAGATTTCTCTTGGCCTACTGCACCAAACCAAGAAACACCTCTTTTTCGAACTCGGGGCAAACCCGACGGCCCGACCTCCGGCACGTGGGAGAGGCGTTCCAGCAGCAAGGATTCGGAGAACTCGGGGCAAAACTGGCAGTCGTCCTAGCCGCGACTGAGAGCAGCCATGATCGATGGCCACTTGGGAGGTACATTAAAAATGGAGGTGGCCAGGATATGATAGGTACCATTTAATATCATAGCATGTCCATTTTTTCTTGACTGATCCATCTTTAAATGGAGCTACCTATCATATCCAAAACCTATTTTTTGGGCCCATGTAAGGGGACATATATATCCCCAAAATATGGCCAACAATATGTGATCCTGGAATTCCCATTGAGTTTCTCCAAAACTTGGCTACGGCATACTGATGGATACTGGAAGCCTACGTCCAATGCTAAAAGAAAACAACGACCTAATAATGATACTACTACTGCTGCTGCTACTACTAGTACGAATAGCAATTATTATTGCTACTACTAAATATGATATTACTACTATTGATAGTAGGTAACAATAAGGGTGCGGAATTTTTTTGGGATTTGTTTTTTCTTGTTTTGGGAATTTTATTTTTTTTTGGTCGTGGGCACGGTTTCCTCACTTTTTCCTTGTTTTCCATGACTTTTCCTTGGTTTTTCATTGGTTTTCCTTCATTTTTCCTCACGTTTTCCTCATTTTCCAGTATTTTTCTTTGGTTTTTCATAATTTCCTCACTTTTTCATCGTTTTCCATTACTTTTTCCTTTGTTTTTCATCATTTTCCTCACTTTTTTATCGTTTTCCATTACTTTTTTCCTTGTTTTCCATGACTTTTCCTTCGTTTTTCATTGGTTTTCCTTCATTTTTCCTCACTTTTTCATCGTTTTCCATTACTTTTCCTTAGTTTTTCATAATTTTCCTCACTTTTTCATCGTTTTCCATTACTTTTCCTTGGTTTTTCATCATTTTCCTCACTTTTTCCTCGTTTTCCATTATTTTTTCTTAGTTGTTCATTGGTTTTCCTTCACTCCCCTCACTTTTCCTCGTTTTCCATTACTTTTTCTTTGGTTTTTCATCATTTTCCTAACATTTTCTTTCCTTCCTCAATAAGAAAACAGGAAGGGGGTATGGGGGAGAGGGCTGAGGAGGAGCAGTAGCGTCCACTCAGAATCAGCTAAAGCGTCTTCCCAGGCAACCTTATATACAGATATATAGATATATAGTGGTATATAGATATATATATATATATATATATATAGAGATATATATAGATATATAGATATATAGATATATAGATATATAGATATATAGATATATAGATATATAGATATATAGATATATAGATATATATATATATATATAGATATAGATATATAGATATATGTATATATATATAGATATAGATATAGATATATAGAGATATATAGAAATATAAAGAAATATATAGATAGATATATATATATAGGGGATATAGATATATAGATATAGATACAGCCACAGATATAGATAGATATAAATAGATATAGATAGATATAGATAGATATAGATAGATATAGATAGATGTAGGTATACATGCATGACTAATCATGACTATATGCATATGTAGATCAATGTATTTACAAGTGTAATCAATATATCTGCCGGGTTTGGTTTTAGGGTTGGTTTTAAGGTTTCTTTAGGGCTGGTTTAGAGTCTGTTTAGGGTTTGTTTAGGGTTGGATTAGGGGTTATTTAGGGATACAATATGTACATACAAATAACTATACTTATGTGGACGCATATGCATGCACATGATTATTTACAGTTTATTTTGGGATACAACATGCACATACAAATAACTATTTTTTGTGGACGCATATGCATGCACATGATTATTTACAATGTATTGGGATGAAAGCTGTGTATATAAACAACCATATGTATATATATATACAATATAAATATATATATATAGTCTAACCAAACTAGTGTATTGAAATGTGTGCAAGTTTGAATTTAAATAAAAAAAAGCGGGAGGGGGGGGATTGGGGGAGAGGGCGCAGCGCCTCCCCCCCAAAGCAGATTGGAAACACCTATTTTCACATGCAAGGTGCTGGGTTGAATGTGATACTCAAGTTAAGGTGTATATACTACACGACATGCACCTTGGAAACATGTGGAATGTAGATTAAGGCACAACGATGCACAATAGTTTCATTTGATGTTATCATCGAGTTGGTTTAAGATCTCTTTATATAAGCTTTGGTTCAGGGTTGGCTTGGGGTTTGAATATCATCCGGATGATAATGCAAACCTTTTAGATAGATAGATAGATAGATAGATAGATAGATAGATAGATAGATAGATAGATAGATATATATATATAGATATAGATTTAAAGATATATAGATTTAAAGATATATAGATTTAAAGATATATAGATTAAAAGATATAGGAATATAGATATATAGATATATAGATATAAAGATATATACAGATATATTGATATATAGTGGTATCTCGATATATAGATATAACTAAAGATATAAATATATATATATATAGAAATATATGGAGATATATAGAGATATATAGAGATATATAGAGATATATATACATATAGAGATATATAGAAATATATAGAGATATATAGATATATAAATATATATAGAGATAGATATATAGATAAATATATACATATATAGATATATAGATATATAGATACAGCCATAGATGTAGATATAGATACAGATATAGATAGATATAGATAGATATAAATAGATATAGATAGATATAGATAGATATAGATACGTAGATATAGATAGATATAGATAGATATAGATGGATATATATAGATATAGATAGATATAGATAGATACAGATAGATATAGATAGATATAGATAGATATAGATAGAAATAGATAGATACAGATAGATATAGATATAGATAGACATAGATAGATATAGATAGAATCAAGTAGATAGATAGTTTGATAGTTAGATAGATAGATAGATAGGCAGATAGATAGTTAGATAGATAGATAGACAGATAGATAGATAGACAGATAGATAGACAGATAGATAGATAGATGGATGGATAGATAGATAGATAGATGATACTCAAGGTGTATCTAATGCACAACATGCACCTGGTGAACATGCTTCACTGATAGATTGATCGATAGATGATAAATGAGCCATAGGAGCGAGGAGCTCTAGGAGCCAGGAGCCATAGAAGCCACCAGGAGCCACCAGGAGCCGCAAAAGCCACCAGGAGCCACAAGGAGCCGCAGAAGCCACCAGGAGCCACCAGGAGCCACCAGGAGCCACAGAAGCCACCAGGAGAGGAGGAAAAAAAAAAAATACCCCCCCCCAAAAAAAAATAAATTCCCAAATTAAATTACCCTCCTAACAATAATGATACTATTGCTGTATTACTACTTGATAATAATAAGAGTACGCACATCAATCGTACTGATAACAATAATATCAATGACGAATAATATAAATAACTGCAATAATATAAATAATATTTTTTTTCAAAAAAATATAGATAATATGAAAACTATGAATAATATAATAATGTCAATACTGTAATTGTCAATGATATTAAAACTATCAATATTACTAAACACGCGAAACATACTAACAATACTAAGTGATATTAACTATATCCAAGATTTTAAAACTATGCATAATATTATATAATTATATTAATAATATTAATATCAAAAACATATTGTCACCATTATTAATATCATTACTATCACTAATATTCACAACATTAAATTACTAATTAACAATCATTAGTATTGTGCATAATATTACGAATGTTATTAATATCATCGATATTATCAATATCATCAATATTATAATTACTATTGTTAATATCTATAATACTATGAGTATACAGTAATAATAAACATTAGTGTTTCCGTTGTCCTACCGGTCATGTAAACAGGAAGGTCTCAGGAATGTTGGATACCACTTCGCCACGTGGGATTGCCATGGTGACATTGATAGGTGTCCCATCACTCATAAATATATAACAGAAAAAACATGGGATGCTCTCTGAACATTTTTCTAGGACACCGACACCTCAAAAATCCCATTTCTATTCATCATCATGTTCCCAACATTGACTTGTATATGTTATGTTTTTGTATATAATTCTACATATATATATATATAATATATATATATATGATTATATGTATATTATATCGTTTTCATACGACCTACACATACCTACACCATATTACCCGCGAGTGGTCGAGTGGGACCCGAATTTTCGAAACGGCCACCGTTCCTCGATCACCAAGAAGGGCGCGCGTGGATCAACCCCATCTGCAACGTCAAGGCTTGTGGCGCCGGTGGTTTCTGCATATGATATCTGATAAATACATACAAAATCATATAAATACTTACCCTGTATGCTATATATGGTAACATTTACCATATTTTACCATCAATATACCCCAAATGTTAGCATATATACCATACATGGATCCTATGGGTTATGTACTGGTGCTATAAAATCATATACATATAAACTCATATAAATACTTATGTACTGGTGACTGGTGCTATAAAATAATATACATAAAGAAATCATGTAAATACTTATCTGGTTGGTGGTTGACCTACCCCTCTGAAAAATATGAAAGTCAGTTCGGATGATTATTCCCAGCATATGGGAATCCGGGAAAATAAAAAATGTTCCAAAGCCCCAACCAGTTATGTACGGTTAAACCAAATCAAATGGCTGCTATCAAGATGTATTGCCGAAGATTGGTGCTTAAAAAAAAAAAATGCGACGATTTTCATCACGAGGCCACCAGGTAATCCCCCTGTAATCCACCACCTGGCTCTGAATCCATCCACTTCGCTGGGCTGGAAGGTGTTGATCATTCGGGTGGAATTGTAAAGTACCATGAATATTTGTAGTTCTAGAATTTCGGAAGATTTTCAATCAATAATTGTAGGATTGTCATCTAATGGCCCCTCTTTTACCAGCAAACCTGCGATTGGAAGAAACGTCAACCATTCAAATGGTTGCACCTTCGGCGCAGCGCCGCACAATGTCGCGCCAAATGAGCCTGAGCCAATTGTCGCGGGGCGGCTCTCGGGATAAAAGTAGAGATCAGAGAAATCCCACGTCACGAAAGTGAATCTGGAGAAGTGTGGTGATTTTATACAGCAACGAGGTGAAACCTAAGTCATACAGTAGGGCTACACCCCAGTCATCATCCATTTTAGATTGGGATTTTCCATGAAGTAAACATAAATAAACCATCTATTTATGGGATTTTAATAGGATGTTCCATGAAATAAACATGAATAAACCATCAAGCTATTGGGGTAACCCCCATGACTTAGCAAACCTGCCACGTGAAGATGTTAACCCAGAACTTGGAGATTCACAGAAACACTGCTCCAAGAGGTGTACTGGAAGAGTACCAACTGCTTGCTGGTGTACTAGTGTGTACTGCTGTGCATTAGTAAATACACAAAAATCTCAGTAAATACATGTAAAATTATGTAAATACCAAAGTGTGGAGATGTGGGGAAGGCTTTACAACTGGTGACTCACTGATGACCGACAGCTTGTCCTGCCAAATTAGTTGTGCCTCGAAAACACGACGCAACAAGTGGTGATGAATGTCCACCCTCTTGGGGAACGGAAGACGTGACACCTGATTCATGCAGGAAAAGGCAATGGTTCCTGACTCATCAACATCCCAACTCTCCTCAGGAGTCCATGGAAGTTCCGGCAAACTGCCGGGAAAAATACATGTTTTATCATTTTTTGCTGGAACTGTCCGCATTCTTTCGGGAATGAAAACCGGCTGGTGACTGGTAAGCAACAAAAACCCAGGCTCGGCCAAGCGACATGTGCGAAAGAGCACAGCCAATGGCTCCAGCGGTTAAGTCCGTGCCAAAGAGTTTCCTCTGGCACGGTGCGGTTTTTCAACACAGTCATATGGTGATCCCATTCCAGGGCTATCCAGGGCTTATTTATTGTTAAACGCCATGAGGGAGTGGTTGATAAGTTGATACCAATAAGAAACGATGATCCTGGAGTACTTTCTAGAATCCCACCCCACCCAGCCCAATTTTCGATAGTTTTCGTGTCACGTTCATCTCGACGGGGATGATCCATGATGCTCCAATCTGCCCAACAGGTGACCTTCCATGATGGTCCACTCTATTATCACAAGCCATTCATCTAGCTTTGTCGCAAGGAATTCTCAACACTTACGACTTACGATTCCTTGGCCAATCCTTCCGCCCCAACCACTCCCTGCATTTTTTTAGGATCCAGGTTTACACAGTACGCAACTTGGTCAAGTGTGTCCTGGGAATGGACTGTGCCATGAAGGGCCTTCATCGGGAAAACACCGATTCCGCAAAACATTCCCGCACTAAATGCAAAGCCAGGAATCCTGGAAGCAATTCTGAGACAACACAGTTTCGCAGACACAATATGCATTGAAAGAGCTACACCAAATTGGACGAAACTCCCAGATGTAGAGATGTAGCTTTGAAATGTTTTGAAGGTTTACTTTGGTCATGAATGACGTCAAGAATCTTACAGGACCCCACATGTCCCGATCCTGAGGCAATTCCATTAATTAATGACTTGAAAAATCATTTAAGCCCCTTATCAACACCAATCTTGAGTGGGATGTCATATGATATTCCCCCCAATCAAAACATTGCTATGAAAAGCTAATCCACTTTCAGCAACCATGCACCAAGGTAGTTTATTTGCTATCAGCTGGGTGTTTCACCAAAATCTTAGTACCTGACCAATAATTTATCCCCCATAGGATCCATGTATGGTATATATGCTAACATTTGGGGTATATTGATGGGATCCATGTTACCATATAAAGCATACATGGATCCTATGGGTAATTTATCCTGGATTGCAACTTAAGGGGTCCCTCATGGTTTCCTATGGTTTCCTGGCCCATTTCCAAACCAACCAGTCCAGTCGGTCTCCAGTCCAAGGAGCTGTTCGTCCGGAAGATAGTACCGCGGCAAGGCCTCCATTGCGATGATTCCGTTCCTGGGGGGTGGTTTTTCATCGCTTTTTATCGCATGGGCGCTGCCAGCCGCCATCACCAGATTTGGGGCTTTGAAAGTGGCAATTTTCATCATCTAAACGAGGGATTCCACATTGTTTTGGTTCAAAAGATGGGATAGCTAGGTTTGATGGGACAAGAATGAACAGGATGTCCACATAGGATACTGTAATAGGTAGAACAATATACAAATACAGGGTATCATATACGGAGTATGTATCTATCTCTGAGGTCCACTTAATATAGGGAAGTTCTGTACGCTGAACCATGAAGTCCACAACTCTTGGATTCTCTTGGACCAACCGAGACACATGTACAAATATATATATATACACATACATACATAATCATGTACATATGTATATGCACATGATCATGCACACATAATCCTATATATCTATGAATCTAACGTCAAGTTACAGTATATCTGCGGTTCTGTAGTTGAAAATATCCATTTGCGTTATCTGATGCCCCCAGCTGTTGCTGTATATCGACATATCGCGCCTGGTTTACATCCCATTCTGCTTTTTCCAATTCCACGTTTCATTCTATCAGACTTCTGTCCTGCTAGCTGCTATTTATTCAAACTTTCTGTTGGTTCAATCATCAGCATTGTCAAGTTCTAATCAATTCCCCTGTTTTGCCACTGGAATCTCCAACTGACCCCTTTGAGTCCCCACAAAAAGCAACTGTTCATCGATTTCACCAGACACAACTAGAAACGCATGGTACCCTCTGATAAACAGGGCCGGCTGGGAAATCAAACTATAAATAGAGGTTTTAATGGGACAACTCCTGAATCTAAATGTTGGATGTTCTAGCCAGCCATGTGACTGTTTATCAGGGGGTTACAGTACTAATTAATCGATATGCCATGGATATTCCATGAATAGTCCCAAGAATATCCACGTTATATTATAGATGACCTCAACATAATATGAATATCAACATATTTTTCCTTTATAGATTTATAGATGACCCCAACATCATTTCCATGATGGATTTTCCATGAATAGCTATCCCCAAGAATATTATCCCCATTACATCCCCAAGAATATCCCCAAGAATGTCCTCATTATGGGTCCCATTTCTACCCTCTGGTAATCTGTTACATAGCTATTGAAGCCATGGCCCAGTCGAAATAGTGGATTTTCCCATGGACAATGGTGATTTTCCATAAATGTTTGTATGTTTACCAGAGGGTATATCCATCCTCCATTTCTATGTCAGTCATCGGCCAAGTGGCATGGCCAGCTCCGGCACATCCAGCTGCCGGCCATTCACCGCACTGAAACGCTCCACCGGAAGACGCAAACGTTGGAACTGACCTCAACGGGATCGGTTGATGATTCGGAGATACACAAATTGACCATGGAACATGGATGTAATCTATACCATCGGGTTATGACTAACAATTTGCCATGGAAAATTCCACCATTTTTAAGTTCGGTAAACCATCTATTTCTATGGGCCATTTTCCATGGCGAACTGTTAAATAACCAGAGGGTAATAGTGGATATAAACATGACTTAATCTCGTGGCATCCCATGGCCATGTAGCTTGTGGATTTAAGTGGCGGGTGTAACTATCAATGAGAACTGATGGTATTTTACCATCAACAATGGGATTTGAAGGGATCTAATTGCTGATTAAGAACTTATTGAACAAAAATTGAACACCAACCACCAGTAGCGGTTCATCAGAACATTGGGATTAATGGGATTTCGATGAATTTTCAGAAACAGAAACACCGTATTTAAATGTATTTAAATCGTCAAAATGCAAGCTATGTTGATCAGGGCTGGTGATGGCCGAGCAAATGACGCGAAAAACATCAAAACATCATCATCCGGGAGCCCGGATAAACAAATGGTGGCTTTTTCACCATCAAACGATGCGGAAATGCCCTTCGGGCGAATCTTTCACCACCAACCGTGGAATCCCCCATCGTGTCAGTATTCAGGATTCATCCGGATGGATGGTTGATGCGGTTGATGGGCATATGAAATATATGGGTATGGATCAATACCTATTAATACCATTTTTAGGGGGATGAACATCCATAAATCCCAGCTATTTTGATGTGAACAGAAGGGGTACAAGGTTTTGACACACTGCCATATATGAAATATATATGAAATGATATTGCCAAACAATCATGACTTTGTGGGATTTTGTTGGTATACTTATGCACCATCCATGGTTAGTTCAACTTCTGGAGAATTCTGCTGAAAAACATCAGGGGAATCTCTCTTTTTTGCCTCCCGTGAACGGGGAAATAGATGTAGAAAAGCCACAACCAAACGTACTCTCTGGTAAACTAACATAACTATGGAAAATCACAATTTTTAATGGAAAAATCCACTATAAATGGCCATTTTCAATAGCTATGTTAGTCATAACCAGAGGGTAGGTTCCGGGGGTTCACCATGATGCCATCCAGCGACGTTGCATGAACTCCCAACGCTCGGGTCGATGGTCCAAATTCCTCAAGGATGCCCAGCAGCTCAGCATGACCATCCCCTTGTTGATTTGCGGGACACCCAAGGCCCCCCAAAAAACTCAACTTCTCAGACATACAACCAATTTCTGCTGAAACATTGCAACATTTGTAGAAATTAAGTTATGAACGATTCAGATCAGATCTAAAATTGTTCAAAAATACCAATTCCCCATGGTGGATTTATTCGTGCAAACCACCTCAGAGCTGAACCGGTCTTCGCGTTGGTCTTTGCTCCCTGGTTCATGAAATCCCTTGAAATCCTTAAAGGTGAAGCGTAAATGTACCACACATAGGATTTGAGAAAATTGTTTGCCCACTACTGGGTTCATGCTCAACCCCCAAAGCTAGGATTTACGGCTTTCGTTCCTATTAATTTTCATTACTCCCCAAAAATATAAGATTTTCCCAAACATGGACTCAGATCAAGCTCTCCCCCCTGATGTCTAAATATTCCCTTGGAAACCCTGGTTTAGCAGTGGGCCTATTCATTTTTTGGGCAGGGGTATTTAATATTATATAGGCATATGGGGATATTTGAGTGATGTTAGGGGCATGTGATTATATGTTTGTCTGAGAGTGTCCCAAAGTAGCATTTTAATCGGGAAATGATAGAAAATTGGATTTCGAGGCACCTTATGAGACAAACCCAAACCAAGGCACATGCAATAGACGTGCGCCAAGCTTTTCCAACCAATCTCCGTCGCGACGGTCGCTGTCGAAGCGCTGGCTGAGGCAACTGCGCGGTTCCTGCGATGTCATCACAGCAACTCTGGGGTCACTGGGTGTTTCACCAACGAAAAACTTGTGTTTTACCGTTTTACCATTAAAACATATGGTGTTTCACCCGCAACAACGGGCTTAACCAACGAGAAACGGGGGATGCATCATGAAAAATGGTGGATTTAAGCATGAACAAGAGGAGATGAACCAGAAAACAATAGAAAACATGCCTGCTTCAGATGGCCCAAAAAGATTCAAATATTCCCAGTAGATTTCCCAAATATATTGGATAAAAACCTGGGAACATGTTCCAAATCACCTTCAGCAAATCGCTGGAAGTTGAACTATGAAAAATGGCTTTGAAACACAGGTGATTCTTGGGCGATTTTGTTGGGGCAAATCTTCAGGATTCTCCTGGTCCGGTCTGATGGAAGGGATAAGGCGTTCCATGCTTTGGAATGTGAATTGTGGGGAGGTCATGTCCTAATATTTTCAAAGTTACAAGGGCATGTGTTCTACATCTTTGCCCAACAAGTGTAAAAAGTGTACCCGTATCGCGACAGGTGTTTAACATTGTTTAGCTGTTTAATTATTGCTGAACATGACATGATCGTACCTTCTATTTAGAAACCTGGATGGCCCAAAACGTACCTGTCAGATCCTGTCAGCCTAATCTTTGTCAGTCCCAGAAGTAGGCCCTGCTACTCTGACATCCAAGGTGTTCAAATAATCTGTGAGACGCCCGAGGCAATCTGTACACTGTACAACTGGCGATGGCGCTCATATGGGTATGCCCACATTCAGGGACTAATGAATTACTTCTTCCCCATCTACTCAAAACGATACATTAGAAAAATGGACCACGTGAAAAGTGGATGTGGATGTCCGTTGGATGTCCCTGATTTTGGGGCGCCCCCATGTAGATTTTGTTGCTCTATGACTCTATGACTGCCGTTTTCGTGGCTGCTTTCGCGATGTGTCTCTCAGGCGCTCACAGTGACTTCCTTGCCATCCAGCAGGAAATGGAACCTGAGATCCCGAAGAGATTTCTGCGGAATCTTCGACTTTGACAAAAATCTTTCACAATCCCTGAGTTTTTTTTGGGGATGAGGGGATGATTGCACTAGGTCCACTTGGTCCATTGGGGATTTGGAATAGGGAATCCCCATATCTTTCACGCACCTTCACAACGATCACACCTCGGGATTTCGCGAGATTCCGCTGGTTTTCCGCTGGTGGCTCGTCCTGTTAGTCCGTCCCAGTCCACCTGTGCAACCAATGGATCCATTGAGCGAAAAAATACCACCGCGGTCACCATGATTTACGATTCACCTGGGCAAAATATCCTGAGCACCACCTTTTTGTGGGTTCTACTGATGGATAGATTATTCTATGATATTCTTCAATCCGCACCCAAAAATGTCACGGTTGACATCATCCCGGAGTCATCTGCCCGCAATGAACACGATCCTTAATTATGTCGACCAAAATCTCAACCAACACAAAGATATCAACCTCCAACTCCAACTCAGATAAATATAGCCCATCATCATCAATCAAGTAAAAATTCACATGCTCCTAGCTGTACTTGCCAGAATTTCTGGAGACCACATCATTGTGATTAGGGTATTGTGGCTCTTACCAGTCTTACCGATCTGTAGAAGCACAACATCATCAAAGTTCTTTGAAGCCGGGTCCCAACCAATTTCGGTGCTGAGAAAAAAGTCCCAACACTTTCGGTGCTACCCTCTGGTAATTTAACATAACTATGTAAAATCACCATTTATAGTGAATTTTCCCATGAAAAATGGTGATTTTCCATAGTTTTTTCTATGTTTACCAGAGGGTAACGAATATGGGGCCCATAGGAATTCCTGTTCCAAGCAGCTTGGGAAATCCCACCAACATGGAGCCGACCAATGGGTTGCTCACATCGCTGGCTTCCGGTGTGACCAGCGCATGGAAGCTGGTCTGAGCGAAGCCGAAGAAGTGGCGCGATCAAGGCAGCTGTGGGGTTTCGATCGCGAGCTTCAAGATGTACCACGGATTCATGACTCATTTTTAGATTCAATTTCATTCAATTTCATTCAATTTGGGTATGGGTCAATACCTATAGATACATTTTTAGTGGGATGAACATCCATTTACCAGCTATTTTGGGGTTCACTAGGTACCAGGGTTTTGACCCATAGTGCTGTGGCCCAAGTCTTTCCAGAAGTAGCACTGTAACATCGGACCCTTGGGCTGATTCCGCTTGCCATGGTTGACTTACAACTGGATCCTGTACCACATGTTGGGAAAACCTACACTGGTTTACTACAAGTTGCAGTTTTCGATGAGAGACAAGTCTGCCATTTGGTTAGGACATCAATCAAAGGTATTCACATGAGGTTTCGAGGTGCAATTCCAGCAGGCACAATGGCCATTTTGGTCGTCAAAGCACAGGTTCCAGCAGATCGAACTCTGCAATCAGATGATGAGACTCAGGTTTTTGCCAAACAGTGCATAGCAGCCAGAGATGTGAAAACAGTGATTGAGGTGTGCTCAGGCATCGGATGCCTTGGGGTAGGCCTTGAGGAAGCAGGTTTCGAGGTGATTGCAAGAAGTGACTGGAATCCCATCCTTCTAGGTCTAGCTCAGAAACTGCATTCGTCCGACACCTTGCTTGGTGATGTGTGTACAGATGCACTGCTTTCCGATATTGCCAGTAGATACCCCTCGGCCAGAACCTTAGCTGCCGGAATCAGCTGTCAACCGTACAGCAGACTGGGAGACCGACGTCACCAAGATGACCCACGGTCACAAACACTACCAGCTGCGTTGCGTTTGGGGTTCATGAATCAATTCGGAGTGATAATTTTAGAATGTGTGCCTGAGGCTCACACTTGCCCATGGGTACAACAGATGTTGAAGCAGTTTACCAAAGAGACTGGGTATTGCATGAGCCAAGAAATTCTCCACCTACAACAGGTGTGGCCTGGGCGGCGCAGTCGTTGGTGGTGTGTGCTCACCCACCCATCCATAGGTACAGTTCAGTTGCGACCACTGCCAGTAGTCCAACCGAAACCAATGGTTGCCAACGTGTTGCAACAATTTCAACATTGTGATCCGGACATGTTGGCTCAGCTGCAACTGGATTTATATGAGTTGGGGAAATTTGCACACTTCGGTTTTGATACCAACATGGTTAAATGGAGGGGGCAAATGGCGACCAGTCTTCATAGTTGTGGAAACCAGCTGATGGCTTGTCCATGTGGTTGCAGACGATTTCCATTTACTGAACAACGGTTGAATTCAGGGGGTCTTCACGGTTTGCTCATTCGTTTGTTGGGGGAATCAAAGTGTGGCACCAATGTTTATCCCAATTTCCGGCATATCTCACCTGATGAGCTTGCCCTGCTGAACGGAATGTACCCTGGATGTGACTGGGGACCACAAAGCAGGCTTGCCTTGTGTGCGTTGGGGCAACTTGCTTCCCCACTTCAATCGGCCTGGATTGGAGCATTCGTCATGTGCCATTTTCACGAACGTTTGGGCTTGAGTCAGCCCTCACAGCCCGAAGTTGTGTTGTTGCGGCTCATGGGTCAAATGCTAAAAGCAAGAGATGAGACTTTTGGAGACCAGACATCAAGTGATTGCCAACAATTCCAGACTATGATTAAAGACATGAAGTTTTCAATGGATGGGAAATCATGGGGCGTTCATGTCAGCTCCAATGCCATTCATGCTGAAGCAGCCTCATGCCCTGGCCAGGTTGAACATGAAGATGAACAGCATGACGAACAAGGCTCACATGCGGTTAGCTTGCATGCATATCATGGGAAACAATGCAGTCAGGTAGACATGAAGGTTGGGGTAGGAGCTCCACAACAGTGCTCGGCCACACCACGTGCATTGACGCCTTTCCCAGGAGTGAAGCATGTCGTAGGAGATCAGCAGACCAAACCATGTGACAAAGACACATCGCAGGGAATTGCGGCTGACACACTAGTGCCAGTTGCAACCCGACCTGAGTCAGCTGCTGAGTTTGCCCAGCATTCAATGCCTGCTGAAGAACACAGGTCGCTGAAGATGCCGAATGATTGCACCCGGGCTGCGTCAGTTGGTCCAACCGTAGCAGATGGCCGGTCCAGTTTCGTCGGTGTCCAGGCGGGGTGGTACCAACCACAAACATCCGAAAGTCTGTCCAAGTTCAAGTCCCAGTGTCGTGACCTCCATGTCGGTATGCCAGGTTTATCAGGTGGCACAAATGTAGGGAGACCAAATTTCCCTCCCACAGGTTCAACACCAAATTTGACTGTCACTGAGCAGGCTGGGAATTTCGAGTCAGGCGCATCGATGTCTTTCCGGTCAACTGAACAAGGTCTGCCGATTGTCCATCGTCCTGTCGTCCATAGTCTGTCGGAGCAGTCCAAGCCATGTGACGATACCCCGCCTCTAGAAGTCCTCGTTTGCACAACTTTGCCTGTCACACCCCGACTTATTTCAGCTGAAGAGGTTGCCCAACACTCAATGCCTGCCTAAGAATACAAGATGCCGATGTTGCCGAATGATTGCACCCGAGATGCATTAGGTCCAACCATAGGAGATGGCCGGTCCAGTCACGTCAGTGTCCAGGCGGGGTGGTGCCAACCACAAACATCCGAGAGTTTGTCCAAGGTCAAGTCTGAGTTTCGTGAAATCCATGTCGGTAAGCCAGGTTTGACAGATGGCCCAAATGTAGGGAGACCAAGTTTCCCTACCACAGGTCCAACACCAAATTTGACGATCACTGAGCAAGCTGACAAGTTCGAGTCAGGTGCATCGATTTTTGTCCAGACAACTGAACAATGTCCGATTGTCCACCGTCCGGTCGCTCATGGTCTGTCAATGCAGCCCAAGCCATGTAACAACCACCCACCTCAGGGAGTTACCGCGTGCACACCTGTGCCTGAAACAACTCGACGTGACCCAGCTGAAGAGGTTGCCCAGCATCCGATTCCAGCCGAAGAACACAAGCCGCCAAGGATGCCACATAAGTGCAATCAAGGTGTGCCAGTAGGTCCAATCACAACAGATGACCGGTCCAGTTTCGTCGGTGTCCAGGCGGGGTGGTGTCAACCACAAACATCCGAGGGTTTGTCCATGGTCCAGTCCGCGGGTTGTGAGTTTCATGTTGGTCAGCCAGGTACGTCAGGTGGCATGAAGGTTGGGATACCAAGTGTCCCTCCTGCAGGTCACACACCAGAGCGGACCGTCACTGAGAAGGTTGGGAAGATTGAGTCAAATGCATTGGTGTCTGTCCGGTCCACCAGCCAAAGTTTGCCCATGGCCCAATGTCCTGTCGCTCATGGTCTGTCCAATGTCCAGGCGGGGTGGAATCCTCCACAAACAACCGTATGTCCAGATGTCTTTGCCCAGAGTGTGCCGTCGATTCAGCATGGGAAGGATCAAGGTGTCCAGTCAACTGAGGGAAAAAGGGCTTATCAGCGTCAACACCAAGCAGCACACGTGGAGTGCCCTGACCATTTGCAATTGCATTGCCAGGTGCCACTCGTCAAACCCTCAGAGCATGCTGTACCAGCCCATGTTCAATCGGAATCGAAACCACCGCAAACAGCCATTGGTCATGATGCTTTTGCCCAGTCAGAGTTGTTAGTCCAGTCAAGGGTTGGTCGTCCTGCTCAGTCGCATGAAATTCAGTCTCCCTCTCATGAAGCTTTCAAGAAAGTCCAGGAATGCCAGTCATATGAGAATAGAGCAACCAGCATGCCGGTTGGAGTTGCCAATGCACCCAATGGACAAGTAGGGCTGATTTCAGCACAGACTCCAGGCCTCTTGAGGGAATATACAGACTCAGTTCAACCCCAATCGAAAGACATCCGAGACATCCTTCACAAGGAAGCAATCCAGCACGGGCAAAGCCCCAATCTGGAACCCGCCAAGTTGCTCGAAACCCCAAATCCCCAGCAAAGCAATTCCAATGCAGATCGCCAGATGCCCACAGAGACAGCCAGGGGACATGTGGCCAACAATGCAATTGACATGACATGCCAAGGGTGGTTGTTGCCAACGCCAAACAAGCCATGGCCCACCAAAGAAAAGTGTCACATGCCTCCCACTCCATGCCAACCTCATCAAGCTTTGACCCATGTGGACCAGAGAGTGATGCCGCCAGGAAAAGAAGCTTGTGGCCATTCGGGCCAGGTTACCAAGCAAGCCGCAGTTCAAGAAGCTGCAACATGCCAACCTCCAACAGCAGTTTGTCCAAGCCTTGAGCTCACCCAATCAGGATCAGTAGTACCTACGTGTCCTCGCACAGGTAAACAGCAGACCCCACAGATTGAATCACACATCGGTACAGCTACACCACAACCGTCACAACCACCAACACCTGTAACACAATCAGCCAACAAACAGGCATCCCACTTCAATGATGATGACAGCAATGACAGAAACTTGCCAAACACTGGCCACCCTGATGATTGCAATAGACAACCACATCATGCCACCCAAGTTGCACCAAGTCCGGGACTTGACATCACAGACACCCAAGAAGAACTTGCCAAGGTCAAGGAATTGCTGGAAGATGACGCCTTCGAGCCAATGCCAAACCATGGAGGAGTGATGGGCTTCGAAGCCAGCAAGAGCCGGAAAATCCATCACACTCCAGCAAACGGCGAGGGGCACACCACTGCCAACACCATCCGAGCAGGTGGAGGTAAAGCTTGCCCTGCAGAGCCTGCCCACAAGAGAAGTCCATTGCCAGTACGACAGTTGACTGGTGTCACCGCCGATGGGGGTTCACTTTGTGGAACACCACCGTCTGGCGCTGCCCCAGTCTCTATGAGAGACAAACATCCAGGTATGGCCACCAACTCAGTCCGACAGACACATCAAAGCTCAGATCAAGCAACATCAGCAGCTGGTAATCCACCTGCAGGCAGTCTCCCTCATGCAGACCCTGGCCAACAGGAGCACACCAAGACAGTGTGGATCATGCAGGAAGATTCCAGGATTCCACTTGAAATCCGTGTCAATGCAGAAGTTACGCCAGGCCAGATCACACAAGCTGAAGCCAAGCTAGGTAGCATGGTCCAACCAATCTTTCCGAGATCATGGGTCGACTCACCACTGGCCTTGTATGAACCTGTGCCTGCAAAGCAGTTCATCCATTTACATCAACACGCCAAGCAGACCAAATGCCCGTTGCTGTCGGGGGGCAGTACCATGCCAAATTTGGACTTCCCCTGCACCAGAATCTGTGCCCTTTGGCAGCAGGGACCGTGGGTAGCTCAAGATGAAATGGACTACTACCTGTCAGCCGCTGAAGTTGGAGGAAACATCTCTGCATTTTCCCCAACAGTTTTCCACCATGAAGCCGCAGCCGATGAAGAAGCTGGGGTCTGGTTGTGTCACCCGATCCAGTATGCCAATGAAAACCATACCTTTGTCTCTGCAGCCATTGTTGCCAAGCATTGGGTACCTATAGTGATTCAGGCCAAGAACAATGTCGTTCAGCTCACCACCACGCCAGAAGGTACCCTGGCCTCCCTTTGCATGTGCTATGGGGGGTCGTGGGCGACATTGTGGTTTTGCAGCGTCGTGGGTGGCTTTGCAGCGTCGTGGGTGGCAAAAGACGGTCGTTGGTTTTTGTCTTTGGATCTTTTGGCTTTTCTTCCTTATATTTTGTTTGTCTTTCGTTGTTGGTGTCCGCGTTTCTGGGGTTTGGTTGTCTGTCTTTTGGCTTTTCTATTTGGTTTTGGTCGCTTTTCCTGTTGGTGACTGGGGTTTGCTTCGAAGCAGCTTGGTTGTCTGTTTTTTGGCTGTTCTACTTGTGGGTTCTGGAGGCTTTTTCTGTTGGTGTTCGTGGTTTGCTTCTGGGGTTTGGTTGTCTGTCTTTTGGCTTTTCTATTTGGTTTTGGTCGCTTTTCCTGTTGGTGACTGCGGTTTGCTTCGAAGCAGCTTGGTTGTCTGTTTTTTGGCTGTTCTACTTGTGGGTTCTGGAGGCTTTTTCTGTTGGTGTTCGTGGTTTGCTTCTGGGGTTTGGTTGTCTGTCTTTTGGCTTTTCTATTTGGTTTTGGTCGCTTTTCCTGTTGGTGTCTGCGGTTTGCTTCGAAGCAGCTTAGTTGTCTGTTTTTTGGCTGTTCTACTTGGGGGTTCTGGAGGCTTTTTCTGTTGGTGTTCGTGGTTTGCTTCTGGGGTTTGGTTGTCTGTCTTTTGGCTTTTCTATTTGGTTTTGGTCGCTTTTCCTGTTGGTGACTGCGGTTTGCTTCGAAGCAGCTTGGTTGTCTGTTTTTTGGCTGTTCTACTTGTGGGTTCTGGAGGCTTTTTCTGTTGGTGTTCGTGGTTTGCTTCTGGGGTTTGGTTGTCTGTCTTTTGGCTTTTCTATTTGGTTTTGGTCGCTTTTCCTGTTGGTGACTGCGGTTTGCTTCGAAGCAGCTTGGTTGTCTGTTTTTTGGCTGTTCTACTTGGGGGTTCTGGAGGCTTTTTCTGTTGGTGTTCGTGGTTTGCTTCTGGGGTTTGGTTGTCTGTCTTTTGGCTTTTCTATTTGGTTTTGGTCGCTTTTCCTGTTGGTGTCTGCGGTTTGCTTCGAAGCAGCTTGGTTGTCTGTTTTTTGGCTGTTCTACTTGGGGGTTCTGGAGGCTTTTTCTGTTGGTGTTCGTGGTTTGCTTCTGGGGTTTGGTTGTCTGTCTTTTGGCTTTTGTCTTTTGTTGTTTGGGTTCGTTGTTTTGTTGTTTGCCTTTGCGGCTGGTATGGTGCACCGCAAAATTGCCAGCCCTGGCTCTGCTACCAAACGTGCAATCCCTAAAATGGAGGCGACCATATGTGTATCAGCAAACAAGCAGCCAAATTTGCCACAGCTGTGTTGTGCTGTAATTTTGCATCGTGCTTTAGTCCTGCGAAATCGTTTTGGCAGGAGCCAGCCGACAAACAAAGCGCCAGAAAAAAAATACACATATATGATAATATAACATACTATATCATAATATTATTTTTATATATAGAAAATATTAGTGATTTTCTTCTGGGATGATAATAGGATTGAATTCCATGGGGAATTTCGAAGATGTTTGCCTTATTTAGTCCTAATGGAATAACCGTGGGGGTCCTACAACAAGCAACCGTCACATATAAGTATATACACAGGGTATAGGTATATACATATATACCAAGGATACGCGTGAACCCTTCACTACAAACGGTCGTCAAAAGATCCCATTCCTGAGTTCCCAAACACCCAGAAATTTAAATGAAATAGAAGGGTTTTGGAAACACTGTTTATTTCCGGCAGTTTGGTCCACTATTTTTTCACCGAAATCGCTCAACTTGCCGCAGGGTGAGACATCCGGCTCCTGGACTGGACAGTATACGTAGGTACACGGTACCAGAAAAATTGGGAAACTCGTTTGTTAGTTTTTTAGAAAATATTTTTCACAAAAGGTTCCATATATGTTGGACTGGATCGAATCTGCAGAATCCGAAATCACGCACGCAGGGTGAGACATCTAGATCTGATCCATGCACTGGACAGTTCATGGCCGATTTGGGAAAACTGGGACACTTCTACATGCCCTATTTTGTTTTTATTTTCTGGAATTGTTTTGTCACAGTCACAGTGCATATAGGTACCATGTTGAATCTCAATCCCACATGGTTCGCTCGCAGACTCGCAGCAGGGTGAGACATCGATCCGTGGCTCCTGGACTGGACAGTAAAAAATCCAAGATGCACATTTTTTTCCCTGCTTGTTGAACTTGTGAGACTTGCACATTGCAAAGCAAAACACGTTTACCTGTTGGAAAAAACCTCGAACAAAAACATTACCTGAATCTTGGAAAAAAGTAAAATAAGTTTCTCAAATCAAAACCAACACATTTGAATTTTGGGTTTGCGCGATCATGGGAGCAGCACATGGAACGTGCAAGATTTCAGCGCCAGGAACCCAGCTGATCAAAACCAGCCCAGCTCAAGCCAGCTCATCACAATCTTGAAAAAAACATTTCAGATTCCTTGGCATGGGTCTCAAATTTCCCCCAGTCGATTAGGAACCTTCGAGTCTAAGGAGTCTAAGGAGTCTAAGGAGTCTAAGGAGTCTAAGGAGTCTAAGGAGTCTAAGGAGTGTCTAAGGAGTCTAAGGAGTCTAAGGAGCTGTTCACTGGAGCTGTGATGCATGCTGGAATCCGCTCTCAGGTCGGCGTGCCTTCGAAGTGAGACAAGGTGCCTCAGAAGCCAAAGGATGCTTCACTCATCACAATTTCCCAGGTGCAGTTGATCATGGCAAAAGTATCACATTTACATATGCATGATGTAAAAGGTTTTGGCTCAGCATTTGATACAAAAAACATGGGCAAACAATTTATATAAAAGCAACGCAAATTACATTTTTGGGGGAATTTCCCCAGCTGCATTTGTGCAGAATCCTGCTGACAACTCCATGACCTGCAAAAAAACTGCTGAGTGGCGCACTGCAAAGCCATGGATGAAGACAACCAGAAGTCTCCGGAAACCGCCTTCAAATGGATGGAAAGGCGATGCAAGGCTGAGAATGTGCGCTTATGCCTGGTTCTCCCAGCCTGTTTAAGTTGCAACTACCAGTGAGATGCGTCATTTTCTAACATTAATTCGAATGTTACATTTCACATTCCCGCTCCAGCTCAAAGGTATGTGTCTCCCTCAAAAAAAATGTTTTGCCATAGATTTAGTATATAATTATATGCTTGGGATTGCATAGGTATATATATGATGAAACTCAAAGCTACCTTGCTGGCTCAGTGGTCATGACACGTAGCTGGCTCAGCGCAAGAAAATTCTTTAAAAAATCTTTTGCTGTTGCCGCTTTGATGTCAAGATTCACCCCTGAAACGCTGTTACGTTCAACCTCTTGGTGCCATGTTGGATGGTTGATCGGTCAGCACGTGCCAGAGGTGTGGCTGGCTGCGCTGGACCAGTCGTCCTAGGATCGGTTTCGAAATCCCGATCTACTTCGTGGTGTTTTGGTTTTTGCTCAGGGTTCATCTTCTCGATCTCCGTGGTGATTTGGTGGATTCTTCTCCACTGACGGGCTGGCAGTGCTTCCTTGCTTGGAGCGATGATTGGCCCCATGGCGGATCCCCTGAAAGGTGCTGAGGAAGACCAACTTTGTTTTACGGTGCAATGGCTTTACGGTGGTGAGCCGGTGCCAAATGTCCAGACGGACATGGAGTTTTTTCCTCGCATGAGTTACACCTTGGAGGAGGTGGTGACTTTGGTGGAGCACACTGGCTGTGGATCAGGTCGCTTGCAGGGAGCCCATATGTGTGTGCGGATGCTCGAAGATCCAGCTGATGCCATCACTGATCGCCCGGTGGGTCTTTACCCACGGCCAAAAGACCCATGTGGGCCTCTTGCTGTACCGGAGCCATCTGTGGCTGCACCTGGTGGATTTCATCGATCTGCAGATACAGGCCGTCCCTCTGATGATTTCCAGGACAAGCCCATCGAGCCTGTGGAGGACTTCACCAAGATGGACACTGAGGCCATGTTTTCGCCAGGGTCATCACCAGACGACTGTATAGCTGATGTGGCTCATTCGCCCTCATCTCCGGTACCGATCACTGATCATGATGGCATGCCATTGTGCTTACCATGGGAAGATCCATCCATAGCGCCTCTTACAGATCAGGAGCGGGCTGACATTGCAGAATTGGCTGGAAGGATTCATGATCGACTTCTGAACTCGCGGCGATTGCACTCCAGCGAGTCCCAGGCATCGGACTACATGGCCAGTTGGTGGACAACACTGCGCTACATCACCACAGTCTTGCATGCAGTCCCACCGCCTGTGACTGTTCACCGACCTGGATCAGTTGCAGGCCCTGCAGACAGCATGCGCAGTGCCACTCCTTCTCCGAACGAGGAGATGCTCCGAACCTGGAATTGATGATGACTCCGAACGAGGCATGCGCCTTGGAATCATGATGACTCCGAACCTGGATCTCCGCTGAGATCCTATAGCCATTTTGGCATCTTCCAGCTGGCTTGAGCCCAAAAAGTTTGCTTTGACCGCATGTTTACTGTGGTGATTTTCATGTGACTCTCACTTGGGATTTTTGGAAACATATTTCCTCTTTCGGATTTCCTCACAACATCTCACAACACACTTTGTTAACCATATCATTGTGGTTCCATTACACATGTCTACTTTTTTTGTGCCAGGAATTCCTGCGAGAAGTGGCCACCCCGGAGTTTTTGAAGAACTACAGAATGATGGTGAAGGCCAAGAAGGCCAAGCTTGAGGTGTTCTACTTCACTTGGAGGCCTCAGAAAAAAATCGAAATTCTCATTTTCTTAAAACGGTACATTTTTTCATATAAACCATTAATTGACTGACAAACCATGCATCACTTGCAGGAATGACAACCCAGACAGTTGCACCTCACTGGAGGACCAGGCCCCTGACATGAGAGCTCCTGCAGTGTCGGATTCATGAATCGAAGTTTCAGTCTCAAGGGTTGTATTGTAAGAGTCGCATTGTGGATGCATAGCGTTTCCCATGGCAAAATCCGACAATTGCAGGTGATGCAGAACTACGACAATCTCCACAAATGGTTCTCGAAGTTTGGGCGTGCCACTCCAACCATCAATGAGATGAAAATCTCTGTCCTTGAGCTCCATGAGTCACTGCAGATCCTGGCAGGAACGTTGGTCAAAGACTTGAAGGCCAGATGAGTTCACTTCATAGTGCAATAATCCCTGTTAATATGCAAATTAATTGAGCTGTTTTGTGTCGTTTTTCCATCCATTTCGTTTGCTTCACCAGGTGGAAGGGAACAAAGCTGCGCTCGACTGGCGTTCACTAGTCTCCGACGTCTTGACTCTGGAACGCCGTTCCACTGGTGCCAGGCACATCTTGTGTTTCGTTTATGTATATATATATATACACTTACATATTCGGGAAATGCTTTTGCAGGGATGGCTATGACAAGATCGCAGAGCTCAAGAGAGTGATCAGGGAGGTTAGTGGCCCCAGGGTGAAGAAGGTGGGGGTTTCATCTTTGCCATTTTTTTGGGTTTCATGCAGTGATTCTTCAATAATTTTGTCAGGCGAACACGCGAGAAAGTCTTGGAAGCAACGTTGACTCCCAACAGGAGATTCTGATTTGGTTCCATCGCAATTGCAACCATTCTTTTCTCAGCTAGTGTTCTGCAGGACAAGCCTCCGTCGACGAAGGTTGCGAAGCCTGGCAAGGCATCATCAAGTTCATCCTCATCAAGCACATCGTCATCATCCGACAGCAGTGAGGACCATATAGTATGAATGGTCACATGTGTTCATGACAGTGATTCACAGTTGTAACATGTTATAATGAAACAATTATTTGATTCACAAGTTCATGCACAGGACGAATCTGGCCGCCAGTTGGCTTTCCAAGTCAGGGCCCCAACTGCCTTATGGCTGAAATTTCCCAACGATGTGGTGAACAATTCGCACATTCTGGACACTGTTTGTACTTTTTGCATTGGCCAATTAACCAAATTTGTTTGCTTCAGGCCGGAGATACTCATCCACAGCCATCGCAAGAGGCAAGGAATGACCAACATACGTATAAATATAGTTTCAACGTGTTTTTCAGATTTCAAGGTCGACAACAGTCCAAAGAATGATCATGCACAGACACCAGCAATTGCTGGAGCCCCAGGACAGCCAACCAAAAAATAATGTTGGATTCTCACAACCATGCCTCAGGATGTTCCAGCACTACCTCGAGCTCCAAGTCCTCCGCGGCCGGCTCAATTGGCTCTGCCCGCAGAGTCAAGTTCAGCGTCATCATCCAGCAGTGATGACGAGGAACATGTTGTGGTGCTGTTGCATTTGTCTAGAAATTCTTGGTTCAAACCCTCCAACTTAAACAGGACGAAGGTGGTCAAACAGCTACAGCTCAGACTACAAAGGCATCTGGGAAGCTGAAGCAGTTGTGCAAAGATATGATATTGTGGATTTGTCTAGATCTCCCGATGACACCAAGTCCTTTCTGCCATTCGCAGGCTGCCGCAAGCCAATCCAAAAGGCCTGATCATGAGTCAGAGATCAAGGAGCCGATTTTACCACGATACTTACATATACTTACCAATCCATTTCTGTACTCATTTAATCTCATTTATGTCAACAGCACTGCCACATGGTATTGCAATGTAAGTGGTTCAAAGCGGTCTCTGATGGTGTCAAGACCCATGAAATAAGAGCTTGGTATGTATATATTGAATGCAATGAGCAAAATATCGTGTACTGCAATATCCACTTCTGTTGTTTCAATCCCTATCCCAGTGTTTTGGCAAGGTCCCAAAATTGAAAAATTATGGGATTTGGGGTACCAGGAGGATACACAATATCTTCATTTTTCGTGTTTGATCTGTCATTTTGAATACGCCTCAAAATGCCTCAAGTTGGTCCCATCAAAGCCTCAAAGCTGATAATATAGCAAAAAACAACAGTAGCCAACCTTTAAAGGTAAAAGAGCCGCAAACTTCAGTGAATGGCACTCTCATTTTTTTCACTCATTTCAAAGCTGGTAAAGAAGCACTCACCGATGCCATTTAGCTGGTGAAAAAGTGCGATTCCGTGGCCCCTGAACGGTTCTGCAGGGTATTCCATATCTCTTCTAAAGAGATGGCTCGGCCAAGATATGGACAGTTGTCCTAAACTCATAATTTCACTCATTTCAAAGCTGGTAAAGAAGCACTCACCAATGCCATTTAGCATGCAGGTGAAAAAGTGCGATTCCGTGGCCCCTGAACGGTTCAGCAGGGTATTCCATATCTCTTCTAAAGAGATTGCTCGGCCAAGATATGGACACTTTTGTCCTAAACCTAAACCTCAGTGACAATGTGCCACTCATTGTCGTGGGTTCCATCCGCAGCACGCTCCTCCATCTCAAAGTCGGGATCAAGCCATCGAAGGACCTCGGTCACAAACTGACCTTGCACCAGCTGGAACTGCCATCTGCTGAAGTTGTGAACCGTAGGAGACCAAAAGACCCTCATAAGGTGGAGGTCTATCCAACCGATCCAAAGGATTCGCCTGGTCGCAGAACCTTGCTCCACCCATTGATCCGAGCCACTGATCTGGCGGAAAGTGAGGGTTCTCCTTTTAATGTGGCTGTCTGATGCACAAGCGAACTCCGTCAGCTTCAACCAATCATCTGCAGATTCGAAGTTGCCCTGTGCTCCACATGCCAGCTTGCCAGTCTTCGTCCTCCGGATGAAGTAGCAACGCTTCGTATCGGAGTCAGTAAGAAGCCATCCGCTTCCTCTGCCGGAACCACAGTGCATCCACTTCCCCACTGTGAGGACCATCGTAGGCAAAGCTAAACAGGGAACGGACAGCAACCGAGGAGGACCTTGAACCAGCTGAAATAGAGCGGCTATAATGTGGTTGGCTATTGTATTAATTAATATAATAAACCTTCAATATTGCATCAGGACACCATCCCCAAATTGTCAAATCGTTTTCTGTGGCCCCTGGACAGCCAACCAAAAAATAATGTTGGATTCTCACAACCATGCCTCAGGATGTTCCAGCACTACCTCGAGCTCCAAGTCCTCCGCGGCCGGATCAATTGGCTCTGCCGGCAGAGTCAAGTTCAGCGTCATCATCCAGCAGTAGCAGTGATGAGGAGGAACATATTGTGGTGCTGTTGCATTTGTCTAGAAATTCTTGGTTCAAACCCTCCAACTTAAACAGGACGAAGGTGGTCAAACAGCTACAGCTCAGACTACAAAGGCATCTGGGAAGCTGAAGCAGTTGTGCAAAGATATGATATTGTGCATTTGTCTAGATCTCCCGATGACACCAAGTCCTTTAAAGTCTGCCATCGCAGGCTGCTGCAAGCCAATCCAAAAGGCCTGAGTCAGAGATCAAGGAGCTAGCAGGGTACCGATTTCATCATGTACTTACCAATCAATTTCTGTACTCATTTAATCTCATTTATGTCAACATTGTTTTCTTTCTTGGCAGGAGAAGCACTGCCACATGGTATTGCAATATAAGTGGTTCAAAGCGATCTCTGATGGTGTCAAGACCCATGAAATAAGAGCTTGGTCACCGTTTTGGCAGAGCAGACTTTCAAGTGCAACCCATCTTGTCTTCTCCCATGGCTGCTTTTCTGAATCATTATGTTCTTTTATGGAAATGCCTATGCAAATGTTTCTGTTTTAGTAGGATTGTTCAAGTCTAACCTGGAACTCAGGCTACGGCGCCAATGGTAGATTGCCTCCATTGCGGATCATTGGAATGAAAATCTCTCGCAGGGTAGAAGCCTTGGAGCATGGTGTTCAACCAGGTGAACTTCAACATTTATTTCAGAACTATGACCAGATCGTAATCATCGAGTTCCAACGATACCAAAAGGAACCATGCACTGAAACCTCAACACTTTCCACACCATTTAAATCTATATATATATTCTACCCTCTATCTATACATGCAAAAAGTCCACATGTATGTTCTGTGTATTTCGTTCGATTCTCCAGGAGCTCGAGGTTGCCCCAGAGGGAAGTGGAAAACCCATGGAGGCGTGGTCAAAACAGAATACCTACAAGATCCTAAGGGCAGAAATTTAAAAACATGGCCACATCACATGGATGACACACTAGTCATTGGCTCATGAAAAGGAACTTTTGTTAACATTCTTTGCTTGCAACCTTGTGCAGAATCAAACATTCTGAATCGAGGCTCCTGTGAAGCCAGCGCCGGCCATTGCCACCAACCCAGATGAGATGGACACATTGCCGATCGAGATCGATGAGGCCGTTCCAACATGAAAGCCGTTCCAACATATATACTGAGTTCCCGTGCAGGATGTGATCCCGCCTGGTGGCCTGGCGAATGAAGTTGCATCTCCAGCGGCAACCAAAAAGACTGTGAAGTCAACTTTCCAGGACATCTTTGGTGTTTTTCTCAACAACATCGGTATGTTTAAACTATACCTGGTGGGACAAGGTAGGCCCGACGTAGAAATGCCAGGGGTTCGACGTAGAAATGCCAGGGGTTGATGTAGAAATGCCAGGGGTCGATGTAGAAATGCCAGGGGTCGACGTAGAAATGCCACTTGGTTCTGTTTTTTGACATATCATAAAGTATTTAAATCTATTCAATCTTGCATCAGGACACCATCCCCAAGCTGTCAAATCGTTTTCTGTGGCAGGACCACAAGCCCCTGGAAGACAAACCCGCGATGCTCACAACGGAGGAATCGGCTGCTGCAGCCACAGCGGCATTGCAAATCTATGCCGGGAAGACGGATGGTGAACAGGACATCCTGCAGGCAGGGATCTGTCATAACAAAGAGTCCATGTCATGTTGAATCTTTGTGCAATTGCAGGCTCAAGCACGAGTCAGAGAGCTACACCGAGACCTTCAAGCAAAGGAAATCCAGGCGAAACAGGAAAAAAAGGAGAAAAAGAAACAGAAGAAGGCAGCAGAGCAACAGAACAGTGAGCCCACAGTGGCAGTTAAGGCTGCTGACATGGACCCTGAACAGGAAAACCACCCGGAACAGACCGAGGTCGTCCCTCCACCGGCCAAGAAATTGAAGAGATCACAAGCTGTCAGTTATGCAAGTGCTGACATAGAAGCGTTTTTCCAGTCAGCAACAACCACTGCACCAGACGTGCAGAACCCAGGAATCAAGTTTGTTACGGTTTGTCATTTCAAATGCATTTGACACATTCAGTCCTGCTTGATCAATAAATTCGATTGCCAGGTGCTGGAGAAATTGAAGGGCCTGGGCACCATCACTGTGCCAAGCGGTCTGCTGGAAAAGAACAAGAAGAGTTTTACAGTGCCTGCACCACCTCACCTACAAAGTTCCAACTGCAAAAGCATTGAGATCAAGTTCTGGCCGTATCTCAGAGCATTCTAACATTCGTTTCTTGAATAAATGACATAATATATAGTTTTGTGCTTGCCTTGCAAAGGCATGCTGCCGGGTTCTATGTCAAGAAGGTGCACAACAAGACCGACCAGGAAATCCAGCTGGACAAAGGGGGTGGCTGTAATTTGAAAATGTGCAAATATGGCATTGCTGAAGGGTGGCTCAGCAAAAAGTTTTGATTGTGCAGCCCTCCCCCCAAAAATGGTGAAGCTAGCCTCTGTGATTCGCCAAGGTGGGCCTTGGCACAGCACCTGGCAGGATGGACGGCAGCAGAATTAGCAACAGGCAGCACTGGAGTGTGATGGCATAATTGCCAACGCCATGAATTTTGACAGTCGACTTTGGCAGATCTGGGGAAACAAAAAAGGAGAACCAGTCTTGCAACAAGTCAAACTCAGCCATTTGATGAGACAGAGTTGTTCATTGAGTATTATTTCTTACTCCGTTAATTCTGAGCAAATCTGGCTTCAAGGGATCTTAGTGGGTTTTCGTGATCGAATCCAGTGGGAATGGGGGTTGAGAAACATCACCCGCTTGGACTCACACGTGGCCAAGCAGCATGTTTGATTGCAATGGGCGCTCCACTCGTTTTGCCCGAAACCCAGACATACTCAAACCAAGCCTTGCAGTACCAGCAGGTTTGTCTGCATGAAGTTCAGCCTCAGGTTACATGCCATCGATTTCATTGTGCAGAACACCCCTGCATATGCATCCGCTTCAACCCGTGTCTGGGTCTCAGCGCAGTTCTCAACTGAATGGAGGCGTTTAAAGAGTGTCCCTTTCTAAGAACATGGAGATCTACGAAATGTACAGCGGCACGAGCAAAATATACCAGGCAGCATGTCGAAATCTCAGGGAAACAATGTCGAAAAATGGAAACCGTTCAAACAAGAGTCGGCTTTCTTACACAAAAAAAACATGTTGCATTGAGGCCGGCGGGGGCTGATGAGGTGTGCTTCTGCATCAGTTGATTTTCACTGCACTTTTGTAAATTGTGGTCAGAGACCCCGGGTCATGTGATTTGCCTTTGCCAGTGATTATTACGACATCGTCCATCGCCCTGACTACAATGACGTGGAGTCAGTGCCCTCAACTCAGACGAAGTATGTGTAAAAAGTTTAACCAAGATCAAAATTCCCTGTATGTGATTTCGTTTTATGCAAAAGATACAGCTTGCCATTTTATGGCTTTTCAACTATTGTGTTGGTGTCCTGAGGCCAGGCATATTAGCGGCAATCAAGGGGGTTCTCCGGCTACGACCGGGGTCCCTATGTTGGCTTGGGATCCCATGTTCACTCTTGATTTGGGTGTCGCTTGGAACATCGAAGCGTGGCACGTTGTTTGATATGTTTGGAGACATCTCCCTGGAGAGTGTCAGAAAGTCCAACATACACTTGGGCAGGGCTGCACTGCTCATACTCTTGTGTGTAGCACGGCAAATATGGTGGGCTGTGGAACAGCCTGGGTCTTCACGTTTGCCAAAGATGCCCTTCTTTGCAGAGCTGCTCATGGACAAATTGATTCCCACCAGCTTCCAAAGGTTGTCATGCCCTCAGCTGTGTATGTTGGTGTTGTTCATGTAAAATTTGCATGTTGATTGTCCTATAATTGTGTCCTGTGCCCAGTTGGATGGGAGCGTTTCCTGGAGCAACATCACCAAAAAGAACGATGCTTTTTGGATCTTGGTCGGGGCCCCAGTGTCAAAAAACATCAACAACACCAAAAAACAGTTTGAGAGCGATCCAGGCCTGCAATTGAAAAGTTCCAGAACAAGCTCACGCAAAAACGCCGGTCAGAGATCAAGGAAAGGTGCATTTGAAATGATTGATTTCTTTCAACATGGAAAGTTCACACACTTTCAAAATGGTTCCTTCAGGGTTTATGTATGTTTGGTACATCAGGACTTTCAAAACAAGAACAAGATCGAGATCGTGAAACGCAGTCGCCACAATGGGAAAGTGTTTGCAACTGAGTTGTTCACGGTCTGTGACAATTAAGTTTGCCAGGTTTAACTAGGCTTCCCGGCTTCCCAGGTCAGGAGGAAAGCACCTCAAGGCTACGGGTGCATACCCAAAGACATTTGCAACCCGTGTGATTTCGGAGCACTTGAAAGTCAAACGTGTCATAGCCCCAGTTCAGGAACCATGAATCTTGTTTTTCTGCTGCACTCCAATGATGTATGTTTGTTGCCAAGCTTTGAGTAAGGATCTGCCACGTGGCAAGAAGATGGATTTCTCCAAGATCCAAAAGGCTGGCTAACTGCAGTCTGTCACATTTGATCTAGTCATGGATTGTTTATTTCATATATTTTCAAACTGTGGTTCGTGTGCATGCACTAAAACCAATGAATCTGTGCCAGGATCACCCTGCTGAGTGGAAATATTCAGATCTAGGAGATCTGGAGATGTTTCTCCAGGAACGAATAGATGAGGGTACGTTCAAGCCAACGTTTCCGTTTCAGCCAGATTTTTTGCCATAATCTCTGAGTTGGTGGCTTTTGAAATGCAAAGGCTGAAAGCCCGAAGCCACCTCAGAGCATAGCATGGGGCAAGCTGAAACAAACAAAAGCGGAGACACAGTTCTTGATTCACAATCGAAGATTTAATTTCTCTGATCATGGATTTTGATGAACAGTTCAATCCATTTCCGTGCAATTGCCTCCACTGCTTAGGAAAATTCAATCAGTGTGGATGTCAGTGGTTCACTGCATACTTTTCTTTGGATGACAGCAACAAAATCTGTCATTAGGTGACCCTGCGAGCCGCACTTGCAGCCTGAAGCATCATTTGCAGAAATTGGGGAAAACGGCCAAAATGGCAAAAAACCAATGACCGGGAAATGCCAGCCAATGATCGGGAAATGCCGGGGAGTTGACCGGGAAATGCCGGCCAATGATCGGGAAATGCCACCAATGACCGGGAAATGCCACCCCCTACTGGAAGTAGAGGATTTTGAACAAAATTTGTCATTTTGATGAGTCAATGTCCCCAGCTGGCATTGCAGCCTCAAACCTATAGTGTCAAACTTGACCAAGCCGAGGATTGGCTGGATTCCTAGATTCAAGATCTGGGTTTGGGAACTTCATTGTTTCTACAACTTGGAAACTTGCAATTGCATGATACAGTAGGCCTGGACTTACTCCACGGTGATGGCATCTGCGCCCAAAGATGCAACATGTTTGGCCCTCGGTTAACCTTCTGAATGGACTATTGATTGAACAGTCAAATTATACAGTATGCGATCTGTTGAGGCACTGCTGACGTTGCAGAGACACAGGCTGGTTTCAACTGTCTCGGAATGAATGTGCACAACTACTATGGTGACGACCTTCACATTGCATCTGTTTGAGAGGCAGAGAATGCAGAACCGGAAAGCAATGCATCCACCCCTGTGGAAATGAAAGAAAAGAAGGAAAAGAAAGACAAGAAAGATAAGAAAGATAAGAAAGATAAGAAAGATAAGAAAGATAAGAAGGAGAAGAAGGCCAAGAAGGAAAAGATAGATGAGGACGATGCAGTCTCTGTCAAGGAGTCAGAAGCAAGAGATGCATGAGATGACCGGTGTGAGGACCCGTCCCAGTCCCCATCCGACAGTGCCCCCTCAAGCTCGGTGAAGACTGAGCCTGCACCAGCAGCTGAAGGTGAACATCCTGGTCAGGCCATGGCCAAAAGTACATTGAACGCCAAGGCACTGGCAGCACTCAACAGAGCAGCAACGGCTGATTTGCAGCACCAGGTTGAAACTGACCCTGAAAAGAACGATGATGAGCTGCCGGATCTTTCCGAGCATGTCAAGAAGCTTCGGCACCGTCATCTCAACCAGTTTCAGCGGTCTTTGAGAAGTCTGATGCTCAGTAATGCTGACCCAACAGAAAATTAAATGACAACAAAAATTTAAGAGCGTGCTTTGCTGCATTTTCCAGATGGGTTCAAGTTGGCCTCATCGTGAGAGACGCTCCCAGGCAAGACCACACCGGCTGAAATCAAAGCCCTGGCTCGCGAAATCAGAGCAGGTGGGGATGGTGAGGGAATGATGCTATTCCATGAGACATATATGTATATAAATACATATGTATATATGTATATATATATATAGACATATATAAATATATATGTATATATGTGTATATGTATATATATATATATATATGTATATACATATATATATTGTATACAATTTGATTATGTATATACTTTAGATGTTCAGCCCATGAAGCACTTGCCAAATTTCCTGAACAGCAAATAAAATTGTTTCATGGACATATTTCTCTCCAAGGAAAAAAGTCGGGCGAGTACAGCGACCTTCTGGAGGATTTCTTTGCATGCAAAGGACTGTTGACAGCTGAAGCATTCCTGATATTTATTCCATGATTGTGTAATCATTGCAACTCATCAATAACTCACATCCATGTTATGGGACAAACAAATCCTTCTCATTGATGTTGAAGGAAAATGGGACGAAAGCCGCACCATGGACTCCCTGTGCCACCGCACTCGCAAGAAGAGAAGCCTGAAGCGGGCTTGGATGACACTCAAGGACTTGGAGAAGAGGTGCCATTCCTAACCTATAGATGTTTCATTGAAACGCTACAACAGTGCATAATCTTAATGGCCAGGATCATTTTTTGACAGGTGACAAAGTGGGATACCACCAATTCGTCTTTGATGTCCAGCCTGGGTCTCTCATGCAGCCAGGTTCGAGCGCGAATCCGATCCACAAGGCCTTGCAGCAGCGCTGTTCTCGGAAAAGGTCAAAGGTAAAATGGTCCGAGATCACCCAGAGTTTCCCGGCAACAAGGCGGGATTAGTTGTTGAACAAATCATCAAGAAACTTTTATTACTTGTTGATTTGCATCCTGCGAACACAGGAAATGAGACAAGTCAAAGTCTACAAGGAGGAAGAGGAAGTCAGTGAATCTGAGGATGAACGTGAGACCAAGACCATGCACACAAAGGCGGACAAAGAGACTTTGTCGGACGAGGATTGTGATGATGATATGTTACTTGGCTAGTACTGTTGGCCAGGTGGATCAATGGAGGGATGGACCCATGCAATGCACAAGATATAAACACTTTTTAGCCTTTTGATACATATTATTATCATAAAATGATAAAAGGAATATCGGCTTCATTGTCGGACTTTTTCACCCTCAAGCTTTCTGTCACGTGGTGGCCCTTTTGGCTGGCTTCGACTTCATCGGCTGTGACTTCATCGGCGTCGGTTTCACACAGTCTTTTGACACACCCTTCATGGGCTTCTTCGGAATTGTCTGGCTCTTTCCTGGGTTCTTGTTCTCCTTATGGCCATGCTGCTCATCCAGCAATCTTTCCCAGACTTCAGTGATGGTGTTGCGCTCTTTGTCCCAAACAAGGGATATCAGCCTACAGCAGGTGTCCCCCAAAATTGGATAATTTCCCATGAAACATAACCATTTTTCATATCCATATGATATAGGATGCATTACAGAAGAGACATGAAAACATTGCACAATAAGGGACGAAAAAATAAAATACAAGGGGCTTGAATCCGGATGCCGCTCCCTTCCAAGTGTGCACATACTTCTCCGAGATGGTGCTGTGCCGGACCATGGCTTGAGATCTAGAGCCAACGACGAACCAAAACTTTAAGCTTAGGAGGAAAGCTGCAGTTAATGCACACAAAACGCTTGAGTTGATACACCTATTCCAGTTCCATTAAATTATCCAAGCAGAGTTTCGAAAGTCTCTATCCAAGATCTTCCCTTGCCTGTCCATATTCCATGATAACCAGGATCCATACTATATTGGAATAGCTAACTGATATCCAATTGTCTTATCCAACTGAGATCATATGGTCTCTCTCAAACAATCCAGGGCAGTCCCCTGCCTCCGCCTCGCTCCATACTGCAATTGTGAGGCGAGATGTAACCTCGACAGCATCAGGGGCCACGGGAAGAAGGCCAAAGCCAAAGGGAAAGCCAAAGGCCAGAGTGTCCACACGAGGGCAGAAGAGACAGAAGGCTGGATATCCTTGAAGATTTCTGTCCAAAGTCCGGTCAGTGAGCCAAACGATTTGCAATCCCGAAAACCAAGTTACGATGATTATTTAAAAATGATTTTGGAATCCCAAAACCTTTTCAGTTCAAACAAAATCCCACCATGACATTCCCTGACTGCTGCACAGCCTGAATCGGTTTTTGGTGATGAGGAGGAAGACCCTGCAGCGGAAGCACAGAGAGAGCTGCTGAAGAACAAAAAGCAGGCCGGATATGTTCCTCATTTCGACTCATGGGTTGCCGTAACTCATGACCAAAAAATGTGTCCATTTATTGCATGCTTTGTCCCAACCATTCAGTGCAGGCCTTCTGCAGCTTGGTGCACTTCCAGCAACCACCTGCATTCAGGCAATCACCAGCATCGCCAGCTGTGTTGGGGAGAAGCCGGACATCGAAAAAAAGCTCAAAGAGAGTGGTGTGTCAGATTCTCAATCATTACCCTTTGCAGAATGATGGAACTCTCATTTGTAGCTCCAACATGTGTTGATGGTAGCCCAAATGACATCAAATAGAACTCTTATTTTTGGACGGTCTCACATGGAATAACACAAGTACATGTACCGAGTCGTGGTTCACTGGTAATGAAAAAACTTTGAACCAGCATCCCAGGAACCACCACTTCCTGACAGCCCTGATGCAAGACCTGGAAGAAGCGTCGACGGCTCTTAAAGGGCACCGTGAAACGCTTGAAAATGCAACCTCGGAGGAGGAGGCACAACATCACTACCACAATGATTCTCGATGTTTAATTTGTTTTTTTGACAAACATCTAACACCATTCCGAATGGTCGCCCCATCAAATGCCCCAAGTCCAGATTTGAGAGGTCTGACTCAGCCCCAAAAAAACATCAGAATCACAAACCATCAGCAAAATTGGAATTGTGACTTTGGGTTGGAATGCTGTTTCAAAAGTCAACATTTCAGAACAGGAGCCACCAACAACTGCTGAGCCCCCGGATCAATCTTTGCTGCAGGTGCGTGAGTGCCTGGAAAAGGTCAAGAGCTGCATCGAGAAGCACAAGAATGCTGCCCAGACAGCGAAGAAGAATATTGTGACTTGATCTGACTATATGATGTTTTGAGGAATGCTTTATGCATCAGAAAAACTCCACAACCTGTACATGAATCGATTCATAAATTCACAAAGTTTCGAAAACCCCTGGCCTGCATCCGAGTTGAAGCCAAAGAATGAAAAGTGATCGGCCTGAGCGATTCTGAGTGGGCATTCTGAGCGGGGATGTGGATGCTGCATGAAGCAGCTGTGGCATCGTTGACACATCAGGGGATTTTGAGAGATCTGGGCATGCTGCCAAGATCTATATATATTTTTTTCCACATCAAGATGGAAAGGTCTGCTGCACAACATGGCTGACATTTATGATGTCAAAACTCCTACATTTCTCAAACAATCATTGCACAGAAAACGTTTCCAAACGATTTGCGATTTAGAGCTGGTTGTATCAGCATGCAGCGTATGTAGGTGTGCACTTGGCTTTAGCAAGTCCGTGCATGTGTTTTGGCAAGAGAACATGTGCATTCATGGCTGCATGCTGCAGACTCCGTACATGCTGCATGTGTGCATTTCAAGTGAGAAACAATATATATATATATATTCTGATGGCTTGCAGCCTGAATGCTGATTGGGGAAAGCCTCAATCCAATACGATCTTAGAGGAGGATAAAAAGAATCGTATAATGCTGGCTGGGTATGAGCGCACTGCACAAGGAAATCACACCACTTTATATCAACTTCAGCTTGAAAGTTGCCATTTCAATTGCATCATACTCAGCTCTGGGCAAACCATGCATGGAGGTGCTGGCCAGCCACTACTTGATCACCTAGAGCAGCGGGTCGGAGACGGAGCAGCTTGCCATTAATATTATATTAGTAGTATTTGTTCTGGTTCGACCGGTACCCAGTGTAATCTTTTTTGGGTTCCAACATGAAAGCACCCACTTATAATAAAGCATGTGATTCCTTGACACCTATTTAGACCTTGGGCCTGTCAAAAATGCAAAGTCAAAACCCAAATCCATGTTTCCAATTGCTTGACGTTTTTGCAGCTGCTTGCATGCAGTGAGTGGTGACTTTAGCACCTTTAGCTGCTCAAGCCTGACAACCTGGACATGGCCAAAAATTTGCTCAGGATGCCTAGTCCTCGGTTGGTTTGATTGGTGCTTACGGTTGCTACTGGGTGGTTTAATTTCCAACACTACGACGCCAAGTGAAGAAGTCAGAACTTCCAGGTTACAAATAAAAACGACATGAAATAAACGTGTGATCGCGGCACAGGAGAAAATAATGACATCACGCTGAAATGAGCATGCTCGCAAATGATCCTGCTGACTGCTTGCTTGTATTGAACTCCGGGGCCCATGCTCAGGACATGTCCGTGCACTTCAGAAGTCCGATAGTGAGATCTTGCAATTGATGCAATTGCTACAACTGGCTTTGAATCTTCTTGAGTGTGGGTCCCATCCCCAACCATCACATTTTGTTGGACTCCATATATCTTGATTTCAAGATCTTCGAAGATTCAGAAGCACCGAGGTTGGTGTCTCAAATAGATTGCCGTTTGTGGCTCAGGTTCAAGGACTGTGGGAACCCAATATGTTTAAACAGTGCAATTTTATGTTTGCAGCTTCCGGCATCTGAGGTCTGAGAGCTCTGTGCAGACCGAGGTCGAAGGCGATTGTTTCAATTAAAGCTTGGAATTCAGAGGTACTCACATGTGATTTTTTAGCCTGCAGGGTCAATTGCACCGATGGATGCCTATGAAGAAACCCCAGGGCCCGACCCTCATTTGTTTGAACAACATGATGCAACTGCATGGCGCAAGTGACTGGAACTGAAGGTGAAGAAATCGCATCATGATCATGAGCTTGATGGAACTCATCAGAAGTGATCATTGCTGTGATCTGAGGTCATCGGAAGTTGGCCAATGGATCGGCGGAACTCATCAGGTTTGACCTCTGGCCTGATCCCTGGTTGGACTGATCCTTTGCAATTGTTTGGTGGTGCCAAGCCAAACTTCTCACACCAGTCAGGCTCAAGCGGTGCAGAAACTTTGACCCTTAAAACTCCCTAGCCATGCCGCTCGGCGACCGAACGCAGATGTTGATCGAGATTTTGGACTCCCTCAAAGGTGACCAGATATGCCTGTCTTGTAGTTTCGAATATATCCGTGCCTATGTTTCCGAGCAACTGGGCTGTCAACATAAGATTCTTCAAGTGCATTTTGTGCGTTCTACGAGGGTCTTCATTATAATATATATATATATGTTCCCCCAAAACCTTTTTTGGCTCAAGGTGGCATTCTGGGTTCCTAATCAATTTTGAAATCAGAGCTCTGCGTTTTCGGGTCATTTGGCCTGATTCTTCATTGGTGTTGACACCACGTTCAAGTTTTTAATTTCAATTCTGGCAGCAAAGCTTTTTATTTAACAGATTCAGATTTTGCATGCACAAAAGCTCAGACTCATTTTTTTCAGAATACATTTCCACTTTTAATTCCGAGTTGGTATATAGGTTCATGATCACAGTGGATTTCGATCGCCCTGGGTTGCGTCCGCTGCGATTGCAGCGAAATTTCCATCGTGCGGCGCTGCCTCACCAACTTCTTCTGTTGGCTTCAGTTCGAACAGAAGCAGCTTGCACAGCGTTGTATCAATTTCTTGCAGACGACCGTGATTGGTTCCAGACTCGCATCACTTGTGCTCGGCTGTTCATGTTCTTTGAGAGGCCTAAGGCGATTCGTGACCCCCCAGTTGCAATTCCATTTGGGCCGCATTCGGATCCTGGTGAGTCAGATTCGTCTGATGATGACATGGAGACCGATGACGATCTGACAGACGGATCTTGATGATGATGCATGCATGCAGTGACAGCCATTGGACTATATATCACTTCAGCATGCCCAGGAGCCTTAGCCAACCTTGTACCCCCTGCATGAAAAAGTTTTAACCAAATGGGTTTCCTGCAAGATGAAAATCCTGCTTCAAAACCAGGCAAGACTGGAAGCGTTTGCAATGTGTTTCCAAAGATTGCCGATGTGAAGATGTTGACAAAGACGAAAGTGAGTTGGCACTCGACATGCTTCAAAAGTTTGACCTGGCAAAGAATTCTTGAAACCAACCTGAACCTCCAAAAGCGGTTTCAGGCAGCACCCAAAAGTGGTGTCTATTACATGATATAGCTGCTTATAGCTACGGCCATTGGACATATGTGCAGGGCAGTCACAAAAGCATGGGGCCAGTTCACTGTCAATTTGAAAAGACTTTCTCTAGATCGAGTGAGCGCATGAAGCTTTTAATTAATGATCTGAACCCAAGAATTTGCTGAATGCATCTAGTATGTTCGATTCCTGCTTTCTGGCTTCATATGATCGCTGCTCTAAGACTCTGACTACACCTCCAAGTGATGCAGAGCGTGCCCTGGGCTTAGCCTTGCATGCTTGTTCTTGATTTCTTGTGGTTGTGCAGTTTGCTGCGCATATCCAGGTGGAGCCCCTATATAGTGATCGCGACTAAAGAGTCGTATATGAGCCAATCTGCCGGGAAAAAATGTGCATGCACATGCATGTGTTCATTCACCACACAGTGGTACATGTAAATTTGGCCGGTTGTAGCGATGTTCGACCAAAATTTATGTTTATTGCATTGCAAAGTGAGGAAAGTGTGGAGAAAGCCGCGCAATCAGCTTTAGCTGCCAGCAAGGACAGTGCAAAACAAAACAGCCAGTGGCCAATCAGACCGATTTTTGAAACGTTCTCTTATTCATGCAGGAGTCCAGTGTGCATGGAGGGGCTGCAAGTGCCTCACTGAGTTCAGGCACCAAAAAATTGGCAAGGATTGGACAAGGAAACCATGCCTCAAGAGATTTTTGGCGCTTTGCTCAGCTCCCTGTGGTGTCTTGGCTTGATATTATATGAAGTGTTCCAAGAATGGATGGTGAGTTTCAAGAAGAACACCGCCAATTTTAAAACACCGGCAGGTTGTAAAGCATCACGCTCAAGTGGTCCCATTTTTTCATATATATTGGCCAAAGGACATTTCTCTGCAGTTTCACTATCTAGAACTTCGCAGTTTGACTTCTAAACTCCCCTGGAAAAGCAAGGCGATTCACAATGTGAAGACCTTGGTGGACCTCACCGAAGAGGGGCTAGGGCAATGTGAACAGCCTGTTGCGGTGCTCAACATTTGTTCACTGCTGACATTTCTTTTTTCAGACAAGTTTGGTGTCAAGATTTCGGAAAGAGCTTTGGCCGAGTTTTGGGACCATGCTTGCAGCCATTACACATGGGGTCCCAACCATCCTGGTGCTCAAACTCACATACCACTCGGGGTATACGGCGACAGTGCAAGATACACGAATCAAGCAGGATTCCAGGAGAAATTGTTGTGCATCACACTCAACTTGCCATTGTGGGCACCACGGAGTGTGCGCAGTTCAAGATTCTTGGTGTTCTCTATTCGTGAGAGCTTGATGGTGGACTATGTTCACACAGTGTGGCCGATCTATAGCTACATTGCTTCTGCCCTCAACGAATTGTTTCAGAGTGGAATTCCTGTGAAAGGAATCGGCTGCAACCCTGAGGCAAGACTCCGCTTTACTGTTACCGAGTTGCGAGGTGATTGGGCTTTCCATTGTGATGCTTTGCAGCTGAACCGTAGATGGAGTTCAAACAACTGCTGTTTCAAATGTCCTGCAACTTTGACAAGTGGACCCTTCCGATATACGGATTTTGAGGACAACGCCGGTTGGGTTGGAAACGAATTTTCCCATGTACAGTTCTTGAACCTGTGCCTCAAGCCTGGCGCAATTTGTGACTTGGTTCTGTTGGATCTGGTTTTTAGGATTCTGTAAATCAAACACAGGAGATTTCTCACAATTCTGAAGGAATGAACAAATGCATTGTGAAACTTCCGAAAAAAATTGTCTCGAAATGCTGACTTAGGTCCGTTATTTGGCCTCATCGGCTTTCACGCTGAGATGATCAGGTTTTGCTGGACCCACAACTGGCATTTGGGCCTGTATCATCGGTCGAATGCCTCTGCAATGCTCTTTGGCGTTGCATCCATAGTGCATCGAATACTGTTTAACACTTTCAATGTGCATATATATATATATATAAATATTGATGTATATGTATATATATATATAGGTGCATCGATGGTCAGTTCAATGTGCTTGTATACATGGCTGAGTCATTCATTAGCTAATAAGTGTTTCATCTGGGAAAAATTATCCATTCAAATAGATAGGTATATACGGTATATATCACAAATATCTATTTTGCCCATCAGATTCCCATTTGTTTTTTTGTGATAATACATTCCATTACATTCCAATCCATGGGATTTCGCCAGTGCACCTGTGTGTAGAAGATTTCGCCAGGCAACCATCAGACCTCATCAGGCTGGACCTCTATGATCATGGATACTTTGGGGACCCTTCGCAAATCTCTTTCGAGGATGCTGTGAAGCTGGGGTGGCGTGAGTTCAAGCAGTTCTTGCAAGACAGCAAAATCTCATGCTCTCAACCATCCTTCAAAGCCCACAAGGTTTCTTGTTAACCATATAGATTGAAAGGGGTGTTGAAAAGTTGTGTGAAATTTGGTTCAATACTCATGGAAAAGCAATCGCGCAAACCAAGGTTTTTGACAAAAACGATGCCTTATGGAAACTCAAGGCGTACAATGGGCGTGTGGTCTGCGCATGGTTGGCACATGCTACCTTGAAATTGGCAAGGGCAGCCCCGAGCCCAGAGAGGCTACTCCTTGCTGATTGCATGTCACCACCTGAGATTTTTTTGGGGACAATTTTGAAATTACAAATTCCACAGGTCCACACTGAGCATTTTTTTCCGATCGGTGAATTGAGGGCCAAACTTCCAATCTGCAGCTCTGACTGGATTCCATTGCACCCAGGTGCGCTGCAAGCCAGGTGCAATTGAAGGTCGAAAATGCTGGCCGGTATTTGCCACTTGTCTTAATAAAACTCTAGTCAAACTTTGTGGCAACCATGCATGGAGAGATCAAATCTGATGCTGGTCTAGGTCAAGGGCTGAAGCTGTCGATATTCGCGATACCGGCTTCAAGTACTTGCGCTGCAAGAAAATGCTGGCAGGGCTGGCAATGAGGACGCGCGGATCATCAATCCAGTTTCAAAAAATCATGAGAGGAAATTTTATCAGGATTCACAATATTGATCGGTTTCATGAAAATGCGTGTTTACGAACCATAAAAAATTCGCAGGAAGAACCAATTGCGGTGGTGTCAAATCCCCAAAGCACATGTGACTTGGCATCCGAAATTTAGTAGTTAGTTTTCTTCGATTTTCTTCGAAAACCCAGAGTGAATCCTGGTCTTCCCACAATTTCCCAGGGTATATATGGTAACATTTACCATCAATATACCCCCAATGTTAGCATATATACCATACATGGATCCTATGGGAGAGTGAATCCTGGTCTTCCCACAATTTCCCAGGCAGTGGCACATCAATTGACTGAGCTCCCAATCCGCAGCAACTTGCCGGATAATGGAATGACTGCAGCATTTTCCCAAAAAAACAGTGTTCCTTGTCTCTCATAGTTTGCAATTTTTTTGGTGTCGGATTTGAAGCAAAACAATTTTGGAGATTTAACGTCCAATCCAAGGATACAACCCAAGATTTGAGCATACCATGGCCGATGAAGATATGATGAAGTATGCCAAGCGATGCTTGGCCATGATGATTCCTTAACCCCCACGAAAATTTGCGAAACAACATCATTGATTGATATGTTTTTTTGGGTATCCATTTTACAGTTTCACCTGAAGTTTTATCTGTGCTGGTTTTGGAGCCCTGAAAAGGCAAAATGCATCTGAGGACTGGCAATCTCTTGCCACCGGTTTCGTCTGCAGCGAGGAATTTTGGCCAGATCCATTTTACGTCTCAAACATGCCCACAAGGGCAAAAAATCAGGAATTCGCATGATGCAGTTCAAACGGGAAAAACGCCGTGGATAAACACATGCGAGTTGTGCGAAAAAAAAAGGGCTGAGCAGCAGATTTCGAAACAGGAGAACCGAACTGTCACAGTGGGAAGGTGTGTTTTTTTGTCTACAAAACGGGGAAAAAACATATGCATATGGTTCAAGGACCTTGCGCTTTAAGTGAGAGCAAGGGATCAGAGGCAAAAAAAATGTATGTGTTTCAAGTATATCTTGGAGTGACCTCCCCCACTAACAGTGGAATAATGGAGAAAAAGATGGACCTTTGTGCGTTTCATGTCATTGTGCTGATGTGTCGTTTTCTGAGTGCTTTGTGTTTTACGGTTTTTGCATGTGAATTTTTGAATACGGCGTTTTCGTTACGAATGCGTTTCGAACTTCCGTTTTATGGCACGTTTGCGAACTACCTACGATGGGTAGTGTGCTGTTTGTCTTTACTCCTTTTATGGCGTTGCTGTTACTTTGGTGGTTTTTATGTGAAAGGAAATAATGGATTTTAATTGCAACTTCCCAGCCAAAAATGCACAACAACCCAGGGACCAAAACCACAAACAATTTGAAAGGCCCAATCTTCTCAATCCAATTTTTTCTGATGTTGAACCGAAGTATGAAATCACTCTGGGGGCAGCCTACTTGGAACCAGATCAAACCTATTCAGTTGGAGCTTGCAGAGATTTTGCTGGATAAAATCCCTTTTGGGCAAAGGGAAAGGCAGCGGTGCAGGGACGAGTTTGCTAAGGGACAAATTTTGCTAAGAGACAAATTTTGTTAAGGGACTAATCTTACTAAAGGGAAAATTTTGCTAAAGGACAATTTTTTCAGTGACAAGTTTTTCTAAGGGACAAGTTGTGCTAAGAGACAAATTTTGCTAAGGGACTAATCCTACTAAAGGGAAAATTTTTGCTAAGGGACAAAATGTTGAGTGACAAATTTTTTTAAGGGACAAGTTTTTCTAAGAGACAAATTTTGCTAAGGGACTAATTTTACTAAAAGGAAAATTTGGCTAAGGGACAATTTTTTCAGTGACAAGTTTTTCTAAGGGACAAGTTGTGCTAAGAGACAAATTTTGCTAAGGGACTAATCTTACTAAAGGGAAAATTTTACTAAGGGACAAAATTTTCAGTGACAAGTTTTTCTAAGGAACAAGTTTTTCTAAGAGACAAATTTTGCTAAGGGACTAATTTTACTAAAAGAAAAAATGCTAAGGGACAAAATTTTCAGTGACAAATTTTTCTAAGGGACAAGTTGTGCTAAGAAACAAATTTTGCTAAGGGACTAATCTTACTAAAGGGAAAATTTTGCTAAGGGACAAAATGTTCAGTGACAAGTTGTTCTAAGGGACAAGTTTTTCTAAGAGACAAATTTTGCTAAGGGACTAATTTTACTAAAGGGAAAATTTTACTAAGGGACAAAATTTTCAGTGACAAGTTTTTCTAAGGGACAAGTTTTGCTAAGGGACAAATTTTGCGAAGGGAAAACCCAACTTCATACAGACCTAAGCTCTCATTAGCCTTTTCCGGTCAAAGTATATACAAACCCAACTTCTTTATGAAGCATTGGGTTCATGCTGTGAAAAACCTAACTTCTTTGTGGGTTGGTCGATTGACAGGGTAGACTGACAAAATGTGCCAACCCAACTTCTCAATGTGAGACACGGCACCATGTGCTGTGATGTGAGAAAACCGTGTGGCGAAATTACGTCGTGGGTGGCGAATTTACGTCGTGGGTGGCGCCAGAGAGACGATCATGCTTTTCATAGTCGAAGGGTGCTCGGGGGTAGCTGTTACATCCGTGCGGCCACAGAAATTGCCAATGACATGGGCAAAACATTGGAAGTGACCCAAAAAGTCCTGCCCCAACATTTCCATGCTGACTGCGGATTCCAATCATTTGCCTGGGTCGTAGCCATTGCGATGCAACAGCCACCGGTAGCCATCAGCCCAAGTCAAGCAGAAGGTTGGCGACATCTCTTTGCTCAACATTTGCTACAAATTGACCAGCATTTGCAGACCATCGAAGGACTAGCTGTGGGCGGGATGAAGCATGACACTGATGTGCACAAGCGCCTCACTCAGTTGCTTAAGGAACATGGGGTTTGGGCAGAACGTGCCGATGAAAGAGCAGCCAGCATCATGGAACGTGTTCCCCAGGACAACATCCGCAGTGTCCTCGCAGCCAAGAAACCATGGGCAGATCTCAAGCAAGCAGCCAACCAAGCACGACCACCTGTCAAATTGATTATGCAAGATGAGCTTGAAGCACAGATCGCAGCCAGAGCACAACATCGAAATCAATTTGGCCGGAAACCAGCCAAAGCACCCCAGAGACCACCTGACCAAGGTAAATCGCCTCCAATTGTCAGTGCGGTTGAACTTTCAGTTCCAGTCGGTGTCTTCAAGCAGCAAGATGGAAAAGTACTCGGACCATTGCAAGCAGCACAAGTGCAGCCAAATGCAGAAGGGGTTGTCCTAGTAGATCAGGCTGATGCGGCAGCAGTTCTCAAATTGCCTACGCCAGTGACGCAAAAAGGGCTTGCAGTACTAGTTTTGGCCACGAAGGACAACGCAAGCATGCATGAAGGAGATCCGATCCGTTTCCCTGCCATGTGCAATCAGACTCAAGAACCGATCATTGCATCCGGTTATCTATACCAATTGGGATCTCAGGCAGTCCAGCGCAATGAACCAGCCACCAAATTAGCAATTGATGAAAGCACCACAGAAGCAGTCAGATGCATCGTGTTTCGAGATCAAGCTGGTGCCATATGGGATGAATTACTATCACACCCAGTCAAGACAATTTTCACGAATGAACCACTGTTGCAGCCTGTCAGCCAAGGTGAATCGCCAGTGATTGATGTTTGGGACCGGCAGTGGGTGACCAAACGATATGAGAAAGTCAAACCAATCAACGCTGACATGTTTGTCTTCCTCTTTCGCATGATTGCTGACAATGCCAATGAGCTCATTTCCAAAAGCGGCAATGGAGGGGTATACTTCGAGCCAAGATCATCCTGCGGAAGATACCCTAGCAGCACCCACCATGTGACCTGGTTGCCAAACCTTTCCTATCAGGAAGCAAAATATGCCCAACAGACATCGCCGCAGGTCACCACGTTGGTCCGGAATTCCAACCGATATGGACTGCGCAGTGATGCCATGAATGCCCAGGAGATTCACATGAAACACAGACCAGAGACCCCGCTGCTCCTTGGACAGAACAAGATGCTTTACTCCCTGGGACCCTTGCCGTATAGCACAACCAAGTCAGCGGTCAGCAAGTTGCTCCAAGCCTGGCAGTGGGAAGCCCGCCCTCTGCAACCAAGGGGACGCAGTCTTGACGGCAATGGAGTTCAATGGACAATCCAAGCGACCAGCGATCCGAGCCATTGGATCTACGTCCTTCAACATGGAGATGTCTTGATCAGCAAGCTGCATGAAGACAAGCAAGCCGAGCCAGCAGTCCCGTACTCCATTGTTGCCTCCAAGCGTACTCTGCAGCATCTCCAAAGCACAGGAGAACAAATTGACCCATGGATTGCCAATGACCCCTGGAACCCATCAAACAAATCCAAGCAACATGTGCAGCCCAGTTCCCAGCCGGCAGGCCTGTCGGCCAATGTGCTAGCGGCCATGGAAACCAATGTTGAACGGAAAATCATGTCTGCACTTGCACCCAAGTTAGCAGCCACAGACTCCGACGTGCCAATGGAGGTCGATGCCATCGATGCCAGGGTCACAAGACTTGAGCAACAGCTCAGCCAAGTACATGCCAATCAAACCGGAATGGAAGCCAAGATGTGCCAATTGGATCAGTCAGTCCAGCAAGTCCAGACCTCACAGATTGGAGTTGAAGCCAGCATGAGTCAAATGCAACTGCAGCTTGACCAGCAGAGCCAACACATCACCCATGCGCTGGACAGGAAGATGAGTGAACAAATGGATAAAATAGAAGCCCTGCTGTGCAAACGGGGCAGACATGAATGATTATCCAAAGGAGTAGAAAAAGCCACAGTTAATTACGACCTAGATGCCTTTTGCTGCCGACCGGCCCAAAAGCTCAGGCCTAGATCGTCTGCATGTAGATATCCACCAGTGCGAACACAGGTGGTCACGAGAGCGTTCCGAGCATTTTGCCGTTTGTTCACAGTTTTTGCTATCACCTTCAGGCTTGGGGAAGCCGCAGTGCCAGGTCCACATGTTTTTGCAAATGCCAACACCACCGGGCTGATGGGAAAAGGAGCCACTCTTGCTGCACTGACTCAGCACAGTGCCACCTATGCGGTGCAAGAAACGCACCTTACTGCCCAGGGTATAGGTCGTTTCAAAAAGGAGTTGACTTGGCAGAAAACCAATCTCAACATGACACATGGGGCACCAGCCCCACCCAAAAACCAGTCCCAGAAAACACTGGGTGGAAAGCACACAGGTGTGGCCTTTGTGAGCCACTACCCACTCCGAAATCTCGTTCATCACTGGTCAGATGAAGATTACTCCACAGGTAGATGCCTGGCAACAGCAGCTTACATCAACCAAAGATGGGTAACGATGGGAACAGTGTATGGTTTCAGCGAAGGAGCACATTCGGTTGAAGTCCAGCAGCACACAGACAAACTTCTCCAAGGGCTCACTTCTAGAGTAGTGCATGGAGCCACAGACTTGCGTATGGTCTCAGGTGACTGGAATTTGGAAAGGGGTAATATTCCCCAGGCTGACCAGTGGGAAGCGCATGGATGGTTAGAAGCCCAGCAGTTAGCTTACCTCAAATGGCAAAAACCCTACCAATGTACTTGCAAGAAAAGTACCATCAAGGATTATCTTTATCTCAGCCCTGAAATGATCCCTTTTGTCACGGATGTTCAATTAAATTGGACCACCTTTCCCGACCATGCGGTCATTTTGGTCACGCTGAGCGACATTGATAGACCCCCAATTGTCCCCATGTGGAGAAAACCTAAACCCATTCAATGGCCAAACAACACAAACCAATGGCCAACTTGGGAGTGTCAAGTTACCCCAATGGAAAACATGGACGATTGGTATCAATCCTTGTGGAATGATGTTGAAGACTATGCCGACCAGGTACGTACCCTAGTCAGCCAGCCAAAGCTACAGTCACATCAAAGAGGCCGTGCCCAGTCAAACCCAACCGGCGAGGAGACATTCAATCTGAATTGGCCTGTTCCAACATGATGCATACGAGATGGACCAAGCAAGTTCGAAGACTTCAGCATTACAGCCGTATCACTTGCACAGAGGCCTTTTCAGTCAACGTCATGGAGCACAAAGCCAATCTTTGGCGCAAGATCCGTATGTCCCCAGGTTTCCCGGAAAGTTTTGGGGAATGGTGGCAGCAGCAAATGCATGTATTCCCACATACACCTGCAGTCCTACCCATCGAACCACCCGACTCAGAAACAGCCAGCCATATTTTTATGGAGTTTTCAAGGCACTACCGTGAACTGGAACACAGCCTGCGCAAGGCAAGACATGATTTTGCAAAGCAGCGCAGAATCCATGACCCGATGTTGATATACAAAGATGTTCAGAGAGAACGAGCTGAAGCAGTCCAATCGCTTGTTCAGTGTACAGTCATCCCCGTTTCACATGTCAACCATCTCGAAGAAGGGGTTGCCCAGGTGGTGCTTCAGGACCCGCTCCCTGAAGGTACCTCAACTGTTGATGTCAACAAAATCCCAGTCCAAATCCAAGTTCAAGATAAGCATCATATAAGCATGCCATCAGAAGCCGCAGCTGAGCTAGGCCATCAAGTACATATCAAGCAGTTGGTAGGAGACATACCCTCCATTTTGGATGCATTCGAAGCCGAATGGGCACCCAGGTGGAAAAAGCATGACGAAGTGCCCAGCGAAGAATGGCGTGCGGTTCGAGATCTCCTCAAATCAGCATTGCCCAAAAACAGTGTTGCTTTTCCCCCAATCACCCCAAACTTGTGGAGAAAAGTAGTGAAATCCAAGCGAAAAGGAGCAGCAGTGGGTCCTGATGGGGTCTCCAAACATGATCTCATCAATATGCCAGACTCAACATTAGCACAGCTTATCCGGATGATCAATCATGTTGAAAATGGCAGGCCGTGGCCCACACAAATCACCACCGGAATAGTTGCAGCACTGGCCAAAACACCAGAGGCAGAGGCCACCAAACACTATAGGCCAATTTGCATCTTTTCCATGGTGTACAGAACATGGTCCTCAATCAGAGCCCGCCAGTGTCTTGACTACTTGAAACATTTGGTTCCCCACTCATTAATAGGCAATATCCCTGGTAGATCCCCAAAACAAGTTTGGTTTCATATCCAGCAGTGCATCGAACACGCTTATGGAAGCTCTGAAGAAATTGCAGGTTCCACCATCGACTTGGTCAAGTGTTTTAACACACTTCCGCGTGATGTACTTCAGGACATTGCCTCCCATTTGGGCATTCCAGATGATGTAATCAAGCCATGGTCACAAGCACTCAAACAAATGACCAGGCGGTTTCAGGTCAGAGGATCTACCGGAAGAGCAATCACATCTTCCACCGGATATCCAGAAGGGTGTGGTCTTAGCGTAGTCAGCATGGTCATCTGTAACCTTGCCCTAGAAGTTTACATGTACCATCGCTATCCCAAGGTCCAGATTTGGTCTTTTGTTGATGACATTCAAGCGCTTGCAAACTCTGCCCAAGAAGCTTTAGAAGCCACCCAATGCATGGTTGAATTTTGCCAGATGCTTGACCCCGAGCACCCTTCGACTATGAAAAGCATGATCGTCTCTCTGGCGCCACCCACGACGTAAATTCGCCACCCACGACGTAATTTCGCCACACGGTTTTCTCACATCACAGCACATGGTGCCGTGTCTCACATTGAGAAGTTGGGTTGGCACATTTTGTCAGTCTACCCTGTCAATCGACCAACCCACAAAGAAGTTAGGTTTTTCACAGCATGAACCCAATGCTTCATAAAGAAGTTGGGTTTGTATATACTTTGACCGGAAAAGGCTAATGAGAGCTTAGGTCTGTATGAAGTTGGGTTTTCCCTTCGCAAAATTTGTCCCTTAGCAAAACTTGTCCCTTAGAAAAACTTGTCACTGAAAATTTTGTCCCTTAGTAAAATTTTCCCTTTAGTAAAATTAGTCCCTTAGCAAAATTTGTCTCTTAGAAAAACTTGTCCCATAGAACAACTTGTCACTGAACATTTTGTCCCTTAGCAAAATTTTCCCTTTAGTAAGATTAGTCCCTTAGCAAAATTTGTTTCTTAGCACAACTTGTCCCTTAGAAAAATTTGTCACTGAAAATTTTGTCCCTTAGTATTTTTTCTTTTAGTAAAATTAGTCCCTTAGCAAAATTTGTCTCTTAGAAAAACTTGTTCCTTAGAAAAACTTGTCACTGAAAATTTTGTCCCTTAGTAAAATTTTCCCTTTAGTAAGATTAGTCCCTTAGCAAAATTTGTCTCTTAGCACAACTTGTCCCTTAGAAAAACTTGTCACTGAAAAAATTGTCCCTTAGCAAAATTTTCCTTTTAGTAAAATTAGTCCCTTAGCAAAATTTGTCTCTTAGAAAAACTTGTCCCTTAAAAAAATTTGTCACTGAAAATTTTGTCCCTTAGCAAAAATTTTCCCTTTAGTAGGATTAGTCCCTTAGCAAAATTTGTCTCTTAGCACAACTTGTCCCTTAGAAAAACTTGTCACTGAAAAAATTGTCCTTTAGCAAAATTTTCCCTTTAGTAAGATTAGTCCCTTAACAAAATTTGTCTCTTAGCAAAATTTGTCCCTTAGCAAACTCGTCCCTGCACTGCTGCCTTTCCCTTTGCCCAAAAGGGATTTTATCCAGCAAAATCTCTGCAAGCTCCAACTGAATAGGTTTGATCTGGTTCCAAGTAGGCTGCCCCCAGAGTGATTTCATACTTCGGTTCAACATCAGAAAAAATTGGATTGAGAAGATTGGGCCTTTCAAATTGTTTGTGGTTTTGGTCCCTGGGTTGTTGTGCATTTTTGGCTGGGAAGTTGCAATTAAAATCCATTATTTCCTTTCACATAAAAACCACCAAAGTAACAGCAACGCCATAAAAGGAGTAAAGACAAACAGCACACTACCCATCGTAGGTAGTTCGCAAACGTGCCATAAAACGGAAGTTCGAAACGCATTCGTAACGAAAACGCCGTATTCAAAAATTCACATGCAAAAACCGTAAAACACAAAGCACTCAGAAAACGACACATCAGCACAATGACATGAAACGCACAAAGGTCCATCTTTTTTCTCCATTATTCCACTGTTAGTGGGGGAGGTCACTCCAAGATATACTTGAAACACATACATTTTTTTTGCCTCTGATCCCTTGCTCTCACTTAAAGCGCAAGGTCCTTGAACCATATGCATATGTTTTTTCCCCGTTTTGTAGACAAAAAAACACACCTTCCCACTGTGACAGTTCGGTTCTCCTGTTTCGAAATCTGCTGCTCAGCCCTTTTTTTTCCGCACAACTCGCATGTGTTTATCCACGGCGTTTTTCCCGTTTGAACTGCATCATGCGAATTCCTGATTTTTTGCCCTTGTGGGCATGTTTGAGACGTAAAATGGATCTGGCCAAAATTCCTCGCTGCAGACGAAACCGGTGGCAAGAGATTGCCAGTCCTCAGATGTATTTTGCCTTTTCAGGGCTCCAAAACCAGCACAGATAAAACTTCAGGTGAAACTGTAAAATGGATACCCAAAAAAACATATCAATCAATGATGTTGTTTCGCAAATTTTCGTGGGGGTTAAGGAATCATCATGGCCAAGCATCGCTTGGCATACTTCATCATATCTTCATCGGCCATGGTATGCTCAAATCTTGGGTTGTATCCTTGGATTGGACGTTAAATCTCCAAAATTGTTTTGCTTCAAATCCGACACCAAAAAAATTGCAAACTATGAGAGACAAGGAGCACTGTTTTTTTTGGAAAATGCTGCAGTCATTCCATTATCCGGCAAGTTGCTGCGGATTGGGAGCTCAGTCAATTGATGTGCCACTGCCTGGGAAATTGTGGGAAGACCAGGATTCACTCTCCCATAGGATCCATGTATGGTATATATATATATATATGCTAACATTGGGGGTATATTGATGGTAAATGTTACCATATATACCATACATGGATCCTATGGGTCTGGGTTTTCGAAGAAAATCGAAGAAAACTAACTACTAAATTTCGGATGCCAAGTCACATGTGCTTTTGGGATTTGACACCGCCGCAATTGGTTCTTCCTGCGAATTTTTTATTGTTCATAAAAACGCATGTTCATGAAACCGATCAATATTGTGAATCCTGATAAAATTTCCTCTCATGATTTTTTGAAACTGGATTGATGATCCGCGCGTCATCATTGCCAGCCCTGCCAGCATTTTCTTGCAGCGCAAGTACTTGAAGCCGGTATCGCGAATATCGACAGCTTCAGCCCTTGACCTAGACCAGCATCAGATTTGATCTCTCCATGCATGGTTGCCACAAAGTTTGACTAGAGTTTTATTAAGACAAGTGGCAAATACCGGCCAGCATTTTCGACCTTCAATTGCACCTGGCTTGCAGCGCACCTGGGTGCAATGGAATCCAGTCAGAGCTGCAGACTGGAAGTTTGGCCCTCAATTCACCGATCGGGAAAAAAATGCTCAGTGTGGACCTGTGGAATTTGATGGAATTTGTAATTTCAAAATTGTCTCAAAAAAAATCTCAGGTGGTGACATGCAATCAGCAAGGATTAGCCTCTCTGGGCTCGGGGCTGCCCTTGCCAATTTCAAGGTAGCATGTGCCAACCATGCGCAGACCACACGCCCATTGTACGCCTTGAGTTTCCATAAGGCATCGTTTTTGTCAAAAACCTTGGTTTGCGCGATTGCTTTTCCATGAGTATTGAACCAAATTTCACACAACTTTTCAACGCCCCTTTCAATCTATATGGTTAACAAGAAACCTTGTGGACTTTGAAGGATGGTTGAGAGCATGAGATTTTGCTGTCTTTCAAGAACTGCTTGAACTCACGCCACCCCAGCTTCACAGCATCCTCGAAAGAGATTTGCGAAGGGTCCCCAAAGTATCCATGATCATAGAGGTCCAGCCTGATGAGGTCTGATGGTTGTCTGGCGAAATCTTCTACACACAGGTGCACTGGCGAAATCCCATGGATTGGAATGTAATGGAATGTATTACCACAAAAAAACAAATGGGAATCTGATGGGCAAAATAGATATTTGTGATATATACCGTATATACCAATCTATTTGAATGGATAATTTTTCCCAGATGGAACACTTGTTAGCTAATGAATGACTCAGCCATGTATACAAGCACATTGAACTGACCATCGATGCACCTATATATATATATACATTTATATTTATATTTATATATATATATATATATATGCACATTGAAAGTGTTAAACAGTATTCAATGCACTATGGATGCAACGCCAAAGAGCATTGCAGAGGCATTCGACCGATGATACAGGCCCAAATGCCAGTTGTGGGTCCAGCAAAACCTGATCATCTCAGCGTGAAAGCCGATGAGGCCAAATAACGGACCTAAGTCAGCATTCCGAGGCAATTTTTTTCGGAAGTTTCACAATGCATTTGTTCATTCCTTCAGAATTGTGAGAAATCTCCTCTGTTTGATTTACAGAATCCTAAAAACCAGATCCAACAGAACCAAGTCACAAATTGCGCCAGGCTTGAGGCACAGGTTCAAGAACTGTACATGGGAAAATTCGTTTCCAACCCAACCGGCGTTGTCCTCAAAATCCGTATATCGGAAGGGTCCACTTGTCAAAGTTGCAGGACATTTGAAACAGCAATTGTTTGAACTCCATCTACGGTTCAGCTGCAAAGCATCACAATGGAAAGCCCAATCACCTCTCAACTCGGTAACAGTAAAGCGGAGTCTTGCCTCAGGGTTGCAGCCGATTCCTTTCACGGGAATTCCACTCTGAAACAATTCGTTGAGGGCAGAAGCAATGTAGCTATAGATCGGCCACACTGTGTGAACATAGTCCACCATCAAGCTCTCACGAATAGAGAACACCAAGAATCTTGAACTGCGCACACTCCGTGGTGCCCACAATGGCAAGTTGAGCGTGATGCACAACAATTTCTCCTGGAATCCTGCTTGATTCGTGTATCTTGCACTGTCGCCGTATACCCCGAGTGGTATGTGAGTTTGAGCACCAGGATGGTTGGGACCCCATGTGTAATGGCTGCAAGCATGGTCCCAAAACTCGGCCAAAGCTCTTTCCGAAATCTTGACACCAAACTTGTCTGAAAAAAGAAATGTCAGCAGTGAACAAATGTTGAGCACCGCAACAGGCTGTTCACATTGCCCTAGCCCCTCTTCGGTGAGGTCCACCAAGGTCTTCACATTGTGAATCGCCTTGCTTTTCCAGGGGAGTTTAGAAGTCAAACTGCGAAGTTCTAGATAGTGAAACTGCAGAGAAATGTCCTTTGGCCAATATATATGAAAAAATGGGACCACTTGAGCGTGATGCTTTACAACCTGCCGGTGTTTTAAAATTAGCGGTGTTCTTCTTGAAACTCACAATCCGTTCTTGGAACACTTCATATAATATCAAGCCAAGACACCACAGGGAGCTGAGCAAAGCGCCAAAAATCTCTTGAGGCATGGTTTCCTTGTCCAATCCTTGCCAATTTTTTGGTGCCTGAACTCAGTGAGGCACTTGCAGCCCCTCCATGCACACTGGACTCCTGCATGAATAAGAGAACGTTTCAAAAATCGGTCTGACTGGCCACTGGCTGTTTTGTTT